CTTCAGGGTTTTCGCATGCATACCTGTACATGTAATATGCAGTGTGTATGAATGTAGTGTTCATAAAAACACAGGGACACAAACCTGTAGTTAAAAACAATATTAACCCTAACCTTCCCAAATCCTCCAAAATAGAGGATTTTGCAGGATTGAGGCTATATGGCGAAAATATGTGGCTGATTTTGGAGGATGCACTATGTCAAGGTTTTGGGCCGGACCTAATTGTGTTGTTTGTGCTCAGCCGTGCATCAATTTAGGCATTATACTTGAAATCCTCCGCATTTCTCCAGGATGTCACTGGCTCTTCCTCAACATATTGACAATGATTGCTGGAGGATTTTGCAGGATTGAGGTACTTAGTGGTCACCCCTCTAAGGACCACATTTAAGAAGTAAAGGAGGATTTTGCAGGATTGAGGTTGTATATTATTAATCCTAGCCAAAATGCCTAGGGAGTTAGGCTTAATGTAAACAAAGTTTTTAATAAACCTTTGGGATAAAGTTCTGTCTATATATATACGCACATGTGCACATTCAAATTGTAGTTTTACCAAAAGTGTGTTGTCATTCCAGCATTTTGTTTGGATATGTAGTTTAGACCCCGTTCCCACTTGATCCACCAATTGGGGGATCTGATCCACCTTTTGCCAAATTGCCGGATCAGATCCCCCAATTGGTGGATCAGATCCGGCAATTGTGTGTAGTGGGAACGCTAACCGTTATAAGGTGGATCAGGATCAGATCCACCTTTTCTGATCCACCTCTGGACCAGGATACAGATCCCCCAATTGGTGGATCAGATCCAGCAATTGGCGGATCACGGCAGATGGGAACGCAAAAGGTGGATCTGATCCGGCAATTTGACCTGTCAACATCCGCACGGTGCACGAGTGGCGCGAAAATGTTGCGGTCTTAAGAACGAAGAAACACGCTTTCAGGCATGTAGCTCATGTGAAAATTTCCAATGTACACAACGTGCACAATAAACAACCGCTGAACTACGGGCTAGCACCGCGCATGCACGTGGTATATCCTGAAACTACACTAGGCCTTTTACAATTTTCGTTGCGTATTCTTCCATTTCTAAACCATTTTTTTTTCGAGAAATTTTACTTATTTTTCCATCCATAAATGACTCTGAGTCCGCACTCACCAAAACACTTCAATTTGGCACAGAATCATGGAAAAGCTTACGAATACGCAATGAGAATAGTGCCGATAACGCGGTGCGTCTGGAGGTGACAAATCTGTAGTATTGATTATAGAAAATTGGAAAAGATGTCGTAGTACATCATGTGACCATTTTTAACCAATGAGAACCTTCAGAACCAGGGAATCCCTTATCGATGCATTGGTTTCTGCCGTGATGTCACACAATGAGCGGCGCTGCTCGATTTCACCAGTTAATTTATGCACGTACGGATCCTCTATCCGTGATTTATGTCGGTGAATTCGCGTAATTTTTGTCGGTGAATTCATAGCGCTGTTAAAAACTGACCCATCCTGGCCTAGCATGCAACACTACTGGCACTCCACAGAGCGCGCGTAATTCCGAACTCAGTGACCTTTCAGACCCAACATTTCCGTTTGAAAAGGTGGATCAAGCATAAGTGGGAACGCGACTTGCGGTTTCGTTGCGGTAAGATAACGATCACACCAAAATGCCGGATCGTGATCCACCTTTTCCAAATTCAAGTGGGAACGCGGTGTTAGAGTGTATGCATGGTGCACATAAATCAATACTGCAAACTGTTTTTTTTTAGTTTAAAGAACATTGGACACCCTGGAAGTCTCAGAAATCTGGTTGGAATTAATGCCTTCTAGCAATGAGATTAGATCTCAAACCTCTTTGTGAGAGAAACGAGAGGGACAGCTAGACTTTTGACTCTGGAAACATTTATGCCAGATAAACAAACATGTAGAACTATAGGACAGTACTCAGAAACTGACTTTAATCCTTGTCATGCTGGTCAGGATTTTCCCTCAAAGCAGTGTCTTAAGTGTATATGAAAGTGGAAGTAAATTCATATATGAAGATTGAAAAAAAAAAAAAGTAGCAGCCTTCATGGAATAAAAGTCAAATAATTTTCAGTACAGCAAAAAAATCCAAGCTATATGCAGAAAGTGGAAAACAGAGCAAAGTGGAGTCCTCCCAACTTGATTGCATACTATATATAGTGAGCTTTTAAAATGTGCAAACAAACAATCTGTATGGATATTATTGTATGTTTTCACAGAAGTGAAGAAGAGCTTGATCAGTGTTAAAGATCAACAAATGTGCCATATTTCATTTCACCTAATGTTTTCATGGTCTGTCTCCAGTACACATTCCATGATATTGACAATATCTTGAGGATTGGGGAGAATGATTGGTGTAGGTTCACCTTCATGTTGGCAAGTGTTGTGATTGTGTGCCATATTTAGCACATGAAGCTCACTGGCTGCAACTAATTTATGGAGATGCTTCGCTGTACAGCCTGGTAATGATCAACAAATTTAGAACCAATTTTATGGGGCTTTTAAGCACAGACCAATACATGAATATTTTTGCTGGACAACTAAAGCACAATGAACATGATGAAGTCACCATTGTATTGCATGTTGCTACACATGTTCAATTATGTAGTGGTGCATGTTCAGTCAGGGGGCATGTAGGGAGAGATATCATGGGGTTTGTATCCGTGAGTTTCGGGGATAAGATACACAACACATTTGTGTTACAAAATAGACCCCAAAACAGAAACTGGCACATTAAACCATGCAACAGTCCATCATTTGCAGCTACCGGTATCCCAAAAGTAAGTGACGTAATTATTGTTGAAAAACATACTTGGTTGAAAGTTAGTAAGGAGACTGAACTCCCTGTGAAATTATTTCTGGGAAGCTGTCATTTTGAAGAAATCAAGGCATTAATCCTACGGTGCGTCTAAAGACGCATCGTTGGAAATTTCCGCTAGTTGTTTGGTTTTTTTTTATTCGGCGAAGCGCACGCAAGCGTTGATACCACGCACACGCGGGCGGTTGCTTTAATTCGTCGGATCAGTGTGCGATATCGCGTAGCTGCAATCGGCTCAGTGAGAATGTGTCTCGGATGCTGAATTCAGGCCCAATTCAAAACATGATTTAGCAACTTTTGATTTGAAATCGAGATCCTAGAATATTGTTTTTCTTGAAATATACTGCTGAAGCTGAGCTGAAATATTATCAGGTTACTTCTTTAGATATTGAGCATGTTTGTTGCTTCAAACGAACAAAATGCACAAATTACAAATGATGGACTGTACCTTTAATACACTCCATAAGAACATGAATGATAGCCCCAGAGCTAAACATCTAAAAATATTTGCACTTGAAGTGAGTCAAAGGAGCCTAAGTCTTCTGTACTAACTTTGTGTCCTTCAAAGGCACGTTTCTCATACTGTGCAGAAAATGTCCAAGAAGAGTGAAGTTGTTTAGTGAATTGTGCCAAGACCACTTTAACATTTAATAAGCAAAAAATTCAAAAGTACCGTAATCTCAACTCCCAAATAACTGAGTTGTGTTTAGGTGGGCATGGACGGGCTCATGTTGTGCAAAGGCATGTACATAACTACATATAGTGGACACCAGAAATAAAAGCAATGTGAAACAGACATTTATAGCTCACCACTGCTTTGAGACTCACCCTAACCATAAAGTTAAATCCATTAAGTGGCTTAATCCATGTACCATTGTAAATTGTTATGATAAATGTCCATGTCCATGTACACATGGAAACAGATACACATGTAGCTCTGTGTAGCTCTTGGTCCATGTACATTTCTGGTTAATGATTTAATATGTGCAGCTGTTGAATGCATTGTAAACATCATATTGTAAAATAGTAGTAATGAGTTATTTCACTGTTCTTAATGAGATTAAAGTACGCCAGTAGGAGCACTTGTGTCTTGACTTTCCAAAGCTATACAATCAAGTCCTCTCAGGTTTCATCTTGACATCCTGGGGGGGGGGGGGGGGGGGGGGAGGCTAGTCACCATCTTGGACACTACCGGTAAATAGGTGGTGCTATTCGTCATGGCGAATTTGTGTGTTCTATATTTTGATTTGGTGGATCATTTGCTGACTGAGGCCCCCCCCCCCCATATAGTAAATGTAGTTGTACACCTACATGTGTAGTACATATAGTTAAGTGTGTCTGAATAAGTCTTTACATGTACATGTAGTGCTTGTATGGTACATATGTCAATATGTCAAAAATCAATTACATAGGAAACCAAATTAATATTCACGTAATTACTGGCTGACCAGTGGTGAATTTACAGGTACACATTCTATTTTGCATGAGCTGAGTACACCCACCGTTAGGTGTTCATTATTTATGGTCAGCTGTGTAATGAAAGCTCATGTGTGTAACATGCACGTGTCGTATGAGTGTATTTTCTCATATCACATTGGGATGGGGATAGGAATGGAGATGGGGTAGGTTGGGGGTAGGGTGGGGGTAGGTTGGGGGTAGGGTGGGGGAATGCAACAAGATGTTTCCTTCATGCTTTCATTTGAATATCAAAATGAAGACTTTACATGCATGTATAGTATACTTTTGTGCTATATTTGTGCATGCGAGTACATACAATGTAGATACATTTACTGTTCCTGCAGTATGGACTGACGTTAGAATTCATGCAAGTCTATTGTAGAGGTAAAAGCTTTTATTGGGTAAGTCATTTTTTTATAGTGTCCAAGCTGTTAAAAGGTTTGACTTGAAATATGAATGGATCCTTTAGAACTGCCCCCAGCTTACATTGCACATTTTTGATGATGATCGAATTAAGGCATGTGATCAATTTTTGTTACTATAGCAACCATGTTAAGGAGTGAGTTGCCTGTATATTTGATGCATGATGGAAAAGCTTGCAAATTATATTTCTGACAGTTTTTTTTTTTATTTTTGCTTTGTTTTTGTTCTGTTGTTACATTATTATTTTGTTCATTCTCATTCCTTGACTGAGTTGAAATGTTCAGAAATTGGATGAATTTAAGAGACGCTGAATCAGGGAAGATCCTATGGCAAGGCAGTGAAGATCTGTAAGTATGCAGTGTAGGAGACATGCTTCAAGGTACTCTTTATTTACCTGGCAAATTAAAAAGTTGAACAGGGACAGATAAATGTCACCCTTTGGACCATAATAGATACATAGAATAACTCTTATGTGTATGTACTGTGGAATGATTCTCGCTTGATTGTTTGTTTATGGTGCAAGTGGTACTAGACTTGAACGTCCCGGTACATGTTTGGAGAACAGTTTCAGTTTTCTTTACCTTTGAAACTGGAGACATTGCACATTATAGACCACTTGAGCAGAGCTTTTCTCTCTTGCGTTGTGTACATGTATATTTAGCCTCATGGATTGTGACATGTGAGACAGTAGTGTAGATTCATGCACCAATGTTCAAATTTCAAACAATCATTCGTGGCAGGTGCAAAAGGAATGGGGGGGGGGGTTCTTGAGGACAATGTACATAATAGTCCCTTGACCTTCGCATCAGTACACTCTGAGGGGATTCTTAACAATTAAGCTATCCTTTTTTAACCCATTCCCAAATCCTCCAAAATCCTCTTTTTTGCAAAATGGAGGCTTTTGCAGGATTGAGGCTATGGCAGAATTAGTGTGTGGCTGATTTTCGAGGAAGCACTGTGTCAAGGTCTTGGGCCGGACCTTGTGATGTTTATGCTCAGCCGTGCGTAAATTTAGGCCTATACTATACATGAAATCTTCCGCACTGCTCCAGGATGTCACTGGCTCTGCCTCAACATATTGACAGTGATTGCCGGAGGATTTTGCAGGAATGAGGCAGTGGCCACCCCTCCAAGGACCCCACATTCAAGAAAAAATGAAGGATTTTGCAGGATTGAGGATTATTATTACATGGAGGCAGTTGGAGGATTTTGCAGGATTGAGGTTACATCCTATCAAAAATGCCTAGGGAGTTTTGGTTAATGTGTGGAATTAAATCTCACTATGTTTTCTTTGGGTCCGTATGGCAGCTGACATGGCAAGCCAACAACTTTGTAACATTGTGCTTTGATTGTACATGAGAGCCGTCTGTAGCACTTAATGAAAGGACTGCATATAGAGGATTTGAAAATGTGCCAATACAAGGTGATGTAGCAGCTGGTTAAAAATACTGACGTGTCTGAGTTGCAATTTGATTACAGTTTTAGCCAGTTTTTTGTTGCCTAAAAGGAAGGGTAAAAATGTACTTGGGAAGGGAAACTATTTTGGTTCAGTTTTCATTTGTTTAAGCATGCATGCATTGGAAGCTTACATGTGTGTGTACTCATTTCTAAGTGCGTGTGTTTACTACTTTAAGGATTTGATTTGACATGCTTTGTCCTGATACATGTACATGTATATTACTGGTACTTAGATAGAGGCCACCAAAATAGCAGTTTTTTGTACACTTGACACGACTTGCACAAAAATGCCAACCAATTTATGAATCTTGATTTGAATTCCTTTGATCACTTCATTTAATCTGTGTTAAAGAAAAAAAATCAGATTTTCATTGTCAAAAAGAAATTACAAAAAAATTGTACACATAAAAAACAACAGATAAAAATCTTGACTGAAGTACCGGTAGGGACAAGAAAATAATTAAAAAATGGAAAAAAATCCCTGTTGCATTGGCATTCATCTTTTGGTATGGATACATGTAGTCAACAGTGCACCGGTACACTCTCTCTTTTTTGTGGGGGGGGGGGGGGGGAGGGGATAGGCCTAGTTTTTGCCATTATAAAACAACCTAGGTGTATTTTAGTAACCTGTCAGTCTGTCACATGTAATTAGATTTATGTTTTGTGCAAATGAGAAAAGTGAATAACTTACATGTGTTGCAGTTGTTGCTCGTGCCAAATATTAACCACACTGCCACAGGTAAAACACCGTTCTTTGGATACAGTCTGCAATGTACATGTATTTTTTTTTTCACGTGTTTGTTATTTTTGCCAGAAAACAAATTTCATATTTTAAGTAACCTGCTACAGGTAAATACATTTCATTTATTTAGTGGTAATATGAAAAGATAATACCTAATGCATTTGTCGGTCGTGTCAAATATTAACCGTACGTCAAAGGTAAGTTGGACTTTGAAATGCCAGCCATGTATGTTTTCTCCTGTGTTTTGTGCCGGCAGCATTTTTCATATCCGTACTCTTACCAAACGACAGCGTGACTTTTGGCACTGTGGCTCTCCTGGGAACCTTGTTTGCACATCCACGCGTGTGTGCGCAGTGCATGGATCCTGCACCAGTTTAATTAAGTAGACATCATCAGACAGGCCCATAGTAAAGTGACTCGGCAAATTATCCAAAACTGCAGGAATACGACTAGCTTAATGCTGATCTGCTGATTGGCAAATTACAATGAATTACATTGCATGTACAATCTGCCCATTTGAGTAATTGGACAACTTTAATGGAAGACAAAATGAAGCGGAACTGCGTAGCACTGAAGAAAAGTATATGTGAAGAAAACAAAAGTTAAAGCAGTGCTCACCGGGAATTATTCTGGCTGAGTTTTCGGCCCCACTGGGCCTTCATCGGAGCTGGCCTGACTGTTTGAATGCAGAAAAATGGAAGACAGTACATGTACATGCACAAACAAATCACAGTGGCATAGAAATAGAAAAAACAAATTGTAAACACAGGACTGTGCATTGTACAACTGGCCAAAGATTGTACCACTGACATCATTGACTTCCATTTCTTTTAAGAAATCTGTAACATATACCTTGTAGACAAGTCAGAGAGCATTTGGATTTGAATTCTCCAAAATTTTCAACAAATTCTCTGGGCTGTGCTAGGGCTTGTCAAACATGTCATTGGTGCAAATTCGAAGTGGAAGGTATTGACATGTAACAACCTTCAAATGTCATTTCGGGGGAAGAGAATGGCAGAGAAATAAAAAATGTTGGCAAATCTACATGACCTAGGTAAATTCTTGGGGATGTAGGATCATGTTGGTGGTGTGTATTTACAGATAGTACAGAAACCCAACCCCAAAATTCAAATCCCGGCAGTTGTCTGAAGGGCTTTGTAGGTTTACGGTGTAAAATGCAACTTTTGTGAGTGTCATCTGTCGTGTGTTAAAATGCACATAAACATGAAATCTGTTTTTGTTTTGCATGTAGCCTGGATTTCATTTTGAAAATTCCCCACAAATGGCATTCACAACCGTTATTTTCCTTTGTGTAAAAAACTTACTTAGTAATATGTAAAGTTGGTTACGGGCCCAGATCCCATAATCTAGAACCAGTTCCTGACATTAGTGGTGATGGGTACCCGGTTTTTATGCGCACCCCTACATCATTTTTCACATCAGTTGCTTTTGATGAATGTTTCCACTTCTAATGAACTGTACAATTTTAGAATTTTTCTGACATTCAGTTGCTAACATTTGTATAATGTGTGTCTTTTTAGTGGTGTTTACATGTTTGTATACTTTTCCTGCATAATGATTTTCATTTTTAGTTACATACACATTACATTGGTGTTTTTAATTACATACACATTACACAGGAAGAAGAGTTCTTTGTTATCTGATTGTGTTACCCTAAAAGAAGTCAAAGGATTCATTCAAACCTGCAGTGTACATCCTATGAAATCCTTGGATTTCCATGTACATGTACATTATGTAACTGTTTGTCTTTTCTTCCTCTCCTCTTCAGATCTCAACCAGAGAAAGAGCATGAGGCCAGGGTGCCCAAGAAAATACTTAAATGCAAAGCCGTCTCCCGGGAAATCAACTTCTCCTCGCAAGAGAAGATGGAAAAGTTCCGACTGGAACAGCGGGTGCTCTTCAAAGGAAAATGCCTTGAGGGTAAATCATGTGTACATGTAGAGTGTAGAAGTCTCCATATGGAATGAAAGATGTGCACGCAAACAGAACTTTCAAAGGATGTTGTTTTCACATTTTGTTGAATGAATTTATTTTTTTTGCTTCAGTTGAGGCCCAGCAGTCTACACAGCCCTGTGGCTTGCCTGTCTGAGATAAAAGATAAATGACAGTGTGAAATAACTTTGTGGAGATTCAGTTCTGCGGGCCTTTCCTGATTTCAGTTGCAGATAATGGGATAGAGGCTGTTCAGAACTGATGGGTAAATTGTGATAACTCGCTCTCCAGGGGCCGTGTAAAACACAACTAGGAGGATGCACGACAAGATGATTGATGGCGGATGCACACACCTAATGCCTAGGGGGATTATCTCTCTGTCAGAGATTGGATTAAAAAAAAATGAGGAATTAGATATGAGACAAGATTGAGATGTCCCTTGGAACTTTGCGTGGTAAACGCTGGATGTCAGTTGTCAGATTTTCAAACGAAGTCATGTTGAGGATTATGCTGTGGGCATCGCATGCAATATTCATACATCTTATTGTGGGGGAATTTCATTTTCTTGCAAGGAATATTAGTGCTCAGGTATTGGAGACCAAGTACACGACCAGTGAGGTACAGTTTTTGTGTTAGTACATGCACCTCCTTACAGATAAGCAACAAAGTAGGAAGATAAGCAACAAAGTAGGAAGACACATTCATGTGTATGTGTCTTCCTACTTTGTTGCTTATCTGTAAGGAGGTAAGGAGAGCTAGCTACATGTGCATGGAGTGTACAAGAGACACATGGGCCCAGTTTGGTTTCACGGCTATGGTCACATTTTTGTTGTGGAAAAGATCATAATAAGCATAACAGAGTGAATGCATTGCGAAATTCTCTGACAAATGGCAATAAAAAGAACTAGGACAGTGGCCATTACAGTCGAGTCTCGTTAATACAAACTCGTTCGGACCTAGCCAAATTGTTTGTTATATCAGAATTTTGTATTAAGAGGAACATTAGTCCCATTCATTGTGCACATAAATGCACAGTCGGGACCATGGCTTTATGTTTGTTATAACCAGAATTTTGTATTAACAGAGTTTGTACTAACGAGAGTCGACTGTATACAAATTTGCATGTAACTTGGAAGTGGTGTATTGATTCACAGGCGCAGATCCGGGGAGGGGGAGGGGGGAGGGGGAGGGGGGAGGGGTAAACCCCCCGAGCTCTGTCAAAGTTTCTTTATTTATAGAAATTCTTAAACAATAATGTGAAACCCCCCTCCCCCCCCCCCCCCCCCCCCCCCCCCTATTGATTTTTGGAGGCCAAGTGTCCGAACAAAAGAACCTGTCTACATTTAAGATTTTTTTGCTAATGAAACCCCCCACTACAAAAATTCCTGGATCCGCCCCTGATTCAGTAGGACTTATAATGTGTCAGTGTTGTAGTCTGGTCTATCACACCTCATCCAGGCTCAAGTCTAGTCCCTAGCTTCTCAAATGAACTGACACAAGCATTCCTTTGCTATCGTTCCTCCCTGATACTAGTGGCTGACCTCAATTTACATTTGAATGGACTTGTGTGTATTTTTATGTTGCTGAATGTTGGTGACACTTTAAGGGTTAAAGATGCAATGTTGTGTGTTTGTACATACAGAGTGGTACTTTGACTTTGGCTTTGTTATACCCAACTCAACCAACACGTGGCAATCATTGATTGAGGCAGCTCCAGAAAGCCAAATGATGCCGGCAAATGTACTCAGGTATGTTAGCAAAAGCATGTAGAAATTGGTTAGAAATGTACACGATCTACTGGGAATGTTTATACCGAGGGCACTCTGTAGCACCCAAATTAAATGATCCACATAACACATAAAGTTTTGTTTATTGGTATCCAATATTGACTGGAAATGGCACGTGCTAGTGTTTTCTCATTCTATCCACTCATTACTAAATTAAGAACAAAATCCAAATCAAAGAAGACTTAATGTTGGATTTTGGTGGACAAAGAGTATAACCTGGCTCTGTTAAGTAGAAAAATATGGTTGTTCACACAGTGTTCATTGGAATAAATGCAGCAAGCTGAAATATTGATCCACTCACGCCATATCAACATATGTTACCCTCTCCTGTTTCTTGAACTAAAAAAAACCACTATTCAGTACTGTGATGCAAAAGCACTGCAAAGGGATGATGAAACTCTGCAAAATGTTATTGGTCCCTTCAAATACATGTACACAATCTTGTGTTTCTAAATCTTGTGTAATTGGTATTTATACATAAATTGGAGATGATAGAATAGGTAGCAATTCTGAAATGAAGCTGCATGGTAGGCTGCACCTGTCCCCTCCAGTAGGATATACTCATGCCACTGGTAATGCTCATCAGAGTGAAGACTGCGCAGTGAGTGGCATCGATGTTCACTGCTAGACCGGATGGAGTGGACACTGATGTCTCTTGCAGGTGTTTCATACCCTGACAGACACATCCGAGGAGTTATGTCTTGTGAAGCTATTCAAGCGCGAACAAATATGAAGCAGATAAGAGCAGAAAAACAGCTTCTCTAGGACAGGAAATCACAGGCTGTACCATTATTGGATGAGGGTGTTTCAGGGCATTTCAGAGCCTTGCTTCTGTACATGTATGCTATAGAGTACCGACGTGCGCAGCGTATTCTGTTCCACACGCACAGCTTAAATGTATGAAGCAGAGATGCCACTTTTCCGGTTTTAAACCGGAATTCCGGTTTTTAAAAAAAATCTCACAAAATTCCGGTTTTTCCTGCCGTCAAATTAACCAGAAAAAGAGAAGAAAAACTGTGGAAATGCGTTGATTTTTACCTCGATTTAGTACATTTAGGCGCACGCATGGCACAACGTTGTTCGTTGAAGTAGTCTTAAAAACAGTCTTTGTGTATGTTGTTGCCGAGCCTGCATGCGATACAAGCGGCCAACGTACTTAATTGCACGCAGTATACAACGGCGCCTCGCGCGTGCTTCACCGCGTGCGGGCGTGTTGTGTGCTAAGCACACGTAGCATTCAGCCTGGAAATCAAGTCTATCATTTCAGCTATCGGTGGTTTCCGATCGCAGTGATATATGTGAATACAAAAAATGCGGGTACCAACCATGTTTTCGTTGAGCGCATCGCGTAGTAGTGCAAGGATCATGTACACCGACAGCAGTGTTGTGGAATCATGCATGTTTCGTGTCGAATATTACGTTGGAAATTCGGGTAGGCAGAATAAATATTAGGATGGGAAAAAGTCAAAGTGATTGAACGAACCGACAGCTTTAAAGGCCATAGAAGCAAAATTAAAAAATAAACAGAACTTGGCTTGGCTACAAGATAAAGATGACAACGGGGACTTTGTGTTGGACACGGAGTGGCTTTTTCACACACACAAAAAAGTCCGTTTTTTTCAAGCAGCCGTTCCGGTTTTTTTCAAGCAGACCTTGTGGCATCTCTGATGAAGACAATGACAGATGACGTCACACTTCAGTACTCTATAAGAAGTATAGAGTCAATGTAATAATCGTTCAATACAATAATCAGATTGTAACCAGACTATGTGTACCAAAGATCCTGTTAAATCCACCTGGAAGATTTGTGAAACATGTTGCAGGATCCAGGGAAGTAGAGGCGTGGCGTTAGTTATGCCCCATAGAGACAAAGTACATGTGCAAACAATGTGCAATTGGTTTGCTGTACATACAGTGGAAGATTTTGGAGGATTTAAGAAAGTACTTTCTGTGATCTGTGGATTGAGTAAAGACTGTTTTCAGGAGTCAGGTGACCTCACCCAAAAATGTTCACAAGATAACACAAGGGGTACTGTTCACCAAGGGGGGGGGGGGGGGGGGGGGGAGGGATTCAGTGGATCCGCAATAAACAGATTCAATAGACATATTGATCTATGTTTCAAGTGTTTTAAATTGACTTCAAATTAAACTGCTCTTGGAAATGCTGTTCACTCTGCACTTGCACTGGCCTTGTACAGTGACCTCTCTGTTGGGGGGGGGGCCAAAAAATTTGGTTTTCTTAGGCATTGCCTGTACAACATTTTAGGCTTCAGACTTTGGGGGAATTCAAGTTAATACATATATACATTGTGTCAATGTTTTGCTTAAAAATGTCAATCCCATAATAAGAGGCCTCAGTGTAGAGCTTGACATCAAAGCTATCTGTATAGACCTATTATTCCTGAGCCAGGGAGATGAAGCCACAACTGGAAACTAGGGCTAAGTTTGGAAAAAGTTGGTCTGCTCAGGCGTCAGATCTTTGAGGGCTTTACAAACCCCATCTTTGTCTCAAGCTCAAGATGCCTAAGAATCCTGACTATGTTGAAACCCAATGAAAGTACACATACCATTGGCCATGTATGAAACAATTTGGTGTCTCTATAGCAGAAAATGGACCAATATTGTACTTGAGTCTGTTTAGTCAGGGGACTGAAATCATGAATCTGTAGTCTGAAGCCAAAGACCGAGACAGTCAACAATTGTTCAGTCCCCTACATGCCCTGAGCATAATGAAGATGATGTATGCTCACTCATAGCCTCCATCTTCTCTTTCTTGTGTACATAGCGCCCTCAACTGACACACTTTTTTTTCTCCTTTACTTTTGCAGTGGGAGTGTTATCATAGAAACCAAATTCTACGACGATGATCTTCTTGTAAGTACATCAAAAGCTCGGCTGTATTATGTTTAAGATTGGGCATATAACCCCATTACATAATTATATATTTGGACGTCAGATTTTGTTTTTACTATTTTTCTGAGAATGTTTCTGAAAAAAGAAGCACTGTAATTGTTACATATGTACATGATAAATGTATGCTGATCAGGATAAGTTAATCAAGACTAGCCCTGTGGTATGCAAGTGACCTTGAGATACATACATGTATAACTGGAAAACTAAGATATATACTTTTCAAACTGCAAAGAACCCCCATGGTAGGTTAGATATTTTAAAAAAAGATATTACTTGGAAAAGACATTTCTTGTGTACCGGTATATGGTCTTTATCAATACAGGTGTTAATTTACCTCATATGCAAATGCTGCTGCATATGCAAAATAGCCTGCTTCATTCATGCAAATGGTTTGGATCATTTGCATTTGTTCCATACTGGAGGGTTTCATATTTCATACATTTGCATGTACAGTATCCGTACATTGTGATTAAGAAGCATGTATTGGTTATTTTTCATAATTCTACATATTGACTAATTCTTAGTTTTAAATTAGAAGCCACTGCTGAGGTGGAGCCAGGCTCATACAGGTTGTAGGAGAACACTCAATACTCCTTTGACCAATAGAAATACCATGGTGCATTCTCGCCTGGACTTTAAGAGCGCTTGCAACATGCGCCCAAGCATGATTCCACCACCAAAATGGAGCGTGGTTCCACCACCTGTATGACTTCTAATTACGTTCGCCAGATTAGTCTATACTCAAACAGGACATTGTAAACATTTGGAGAAAGTTGCTGCTGAGAGGAATTGAGGTCAACGTTACCTAGCAATGAGTAGTGTCCTTTGTATTTGATGATTAGTGATGTTTAGTTTCAGAAGAGAAGCACTCTCATACTTTCAACATTCCATGATGATTTTTTCCCTATCATTCATTCGGGAAGGCAGTAATTTGGGAGCATCCATTTTAATGACAAAAGAAATAAAATACCGTCCTTTATATGAATACAAAGTTGCATGTAAATATCTACCTACTGAAACAAATGTATTCATTTTAATTGTCATTTTGCATTGCAAATGTGCATTCGATTAAAGTACATGTAATTGTTTGATTTGTTTTTAAACTGATATGGTTTTGTTGCTAAGACAGTAAAATAAAGTAGAAATGAGTTTTAAGAATTTTATGAAGGAAAGGGTTTAGATGAAACAATATAAATGTATCATCTGTTAATCTCCAGATCAAGTTTCTTCATTATGTTAACTATTTTTGAACAATATGTACATGTACACATACCGTATCTGTGTTCAAATGACTGTTGTCGAGCCTGTGTGGAAATGTCAACCTGACACCTGGTTTGGAGCTTGATTGCGTTTTCCTAGTTTGACAATCATGACAATATACTTGGCTGTTGGTAAACGGTGAAGCAACCAAGACTTGTTGACTGTTTGTGCAAAAACCAAAGTTGTCATATCGTTGTCAACGGGACAAAGTTTGGGGTGAATTTATGTAGTCTTTGATCAAACTTGATCTGTTTGCAATGATCTGCCCAGTATTGTGTTAGTAGGTATTTAGTTATGTCAGGAAACAACCCGAACGTGGAATGCTTAAAGGGACACTGGGTCCTGGAACAGCCCAATTGGGCTACAAAAGAGCTTTGAACGAAACAATGTTAATCTGAAAGAACCTTTAAAAGTAGGATATACACATCCACACAACTATCCTTTCAAAAATGGCCGTTTTTGTGTTATTCCTGTATTATGCGTGCGTGAACGAATTTCGGGGTCCACTTTTGCGACCCCAAAAATTCAAGCTGTTTTGATGCTAGTTGTGATTTCTTCTGTAAAGTGATTCGCCTTTTGCAGACGTGAAAGAAACCATATTTTGTGCGTTGGTGATTGGTCACCGCACGCTGTTCACGAGCATTGTGCTGTGAAAACGACAGGAAAAGCGTATTCGTACTCTGTCGTGTCCGATGTGAACAACTGAGGTTTTTTGTCTTTTCTCGGGAATGGCAAGACATAAGGTTGGTTTCCTTTGAACCAGATGTTTGAAATAGGATAAGTAGACGATCCAAAATGTGAAATTTTCGGGGATTTCAGGACCTAGTGCCCCTTTAATTCAAAAAATGATGCTATTTCTTCGATTTTCTGGTGTTTTTTGTAGTTTTCTTTCAAGGTTAATCAGTTTCACAATGTAATGTTCGTTTGCAAGGAGCAACTGCACGCAAATTTTAAGTAACTATCACAGAACTATTTATAGGCTTGATTAAATGACCAAAAACAGAACCCTATTTTTTCAATTCTTTATCAGTCTCGAAGGTTGATAAAGCTTTAAATAATTGTTCATGCTGTAAATGTTCAAGTGAAATTGAGGATTTTTTATGTGTAATTACTATACATCCTTGTCTCATTACAGGAAATCCTTCTGTACACGTGCACATTGTCATTGTGACTTTGAAAACAATTTTTTTTTTTTTGCAAATAAGTGAATACGACGTTTGGCTGTTTCACTTATCATAAGTGCCTGTAAAAAGAAAGAAATAAAATACAACTTTGATTCAACTAAAGAAGCCTGTCAACATGTAGCAGTGGACAAAAGTTGCTAGAACTTGAGTTGACTGCTTGTGCTTATCCAGCTGAAATTTAGTGGGAAGTTGGTGTAATTTGTGTGTATGCTACATGTACATGTAGACAATATTGACAGAGCAAATGGGTTTTAATTTGACTTTCAGTAATATGTACCAAATTTGAATGGCAGTGGCATAACTAATGGGGATTACATTTTCTTTGGTTATGTGATCTGTGAGAAGACCTTGTTGAGAAATATTCATATCTTAGTTCTTTTTTTACTGCAAGCCAGGGCTGTCTATTTTAGAATGATTTAGTACTCGGCATTTGACCGAATATTCGGATATTGGAAACTGCCAACTGCAAATGGGTGCCGTGCTGATCAAAAGTTGCACGCAGAGGGCGCCAGTTGGAATTTGTATGTGGCAATTGATATGGGCTGCTGGAGTGTGTTGCAGTAAGTAGGCCTATTTTATAACTGTCTAAGCCAAGGGCTTTAATTGTCTAAAGGGATGGGAAGTGGGACCATGAACCGCCGTCGACAAGAAAATGGCACTTGACAATAAAGCGCCACAACTTCACAAAAAAATAACATCCAAGTTGTGTGTGTGCGTGCATAGTTTTTTTGTTTTTGAATACTCATGCCAGCAAAAAGCTATTTGAATATTGGGTTGATCAAATATTGGGTATATATTCAGGGCAGCCCTACTGCAAGCATGGTGGCGGAATATGACCTCTTTCCAGACTTCGTAAAATGACTTTTGCTTTTCAACAACCTTTAGACTTTTAATTGGCTGTGTAGAAACTAGACATATTCTGTTTGTCTAACATCTTGATGGTGCGATGTGTCTTCTCAGATCACATTAGACATCATTGTAATTGTAGGCCTCTGTGTCAATGTATACAATGTGCATCAATTCATGCAAGTCATTACAGTTCTAAAATTCATCCTAATTCTGGGCAACCTATTGAGTGTTATGCAAGTCTTGTCGTGAATATAGTGTGAATCTGTTCATAAACAATCCTTCCTCTGCAAAAAGTTGTGACAAAGTGTTAAAGGAAAAACCACAATTATCTAAATTAACTTTACTTTTTTTAACACCTTCATCTATATTTGTATTCAATCTTTATATATGTTTTGCACAGTGTTAACTTAAACTGATCTGTAAGATACCTTGATTAAAAATGTGTGTGTATTCGTTTCAAGTTCAGTTATTAGTGTTTCCTTGCAAGCTGTTCAATTGACTATTAACATGGAAATTAACTTGTATTGCTTTGACGGAAGAATAAGATTATTTCATTCACTTTAATAAGATGAACTCTGTTGTGCATTGATGGGCTGTGCATGTGGTATATATAATCATTTTGTAAAAAAATAAGTCAGACACTTGATAACAATAGCAATGAATATTTGTATACAGTGAACAATGTTTTCCCAGGTACTGTTTTATTGAACACTTTTTGTGTACTGTAATCTCAGCAATTGATAGCTAGATCTGTGAAATTCTTCAAAGGAGTTGAAAAATAAGGTCACCTGTAAATGGAAAAAATGAGAAAATTGTTGTTCATCTTTAAATCACCTAGACGATCCATGCTGCCTGTGTTTGACCCTCTTAACTCCCCCCTTTATCTCATGGATCTATTCTTGAGATAATGTTTACAAGTTGCTTTATATTTGGTTATGTATCTTTAGATCGAGACCTCTGCAGTTACGGTAGCCCCCAAGTCACATCAAATCATTTGCTTTTCATGAAAACAAATTTTCTCTTAATTAGGGACAAGTTTTTCACTTTTTTAATTAGAAACAAATGTGATTGTAATCCAGACTGTGTATATATGTGTACCGGTATTTGATTATGTTGTGCTGTAGGCCCGATATAACATTCATCAACACATACATCCACAGCTTACTAGTGTAGCAACAAAAATCTATCACAATACACAATTGTGTTCTGTCAAAGCTTAAGATGTTGTCGGGTGTTGGTCACTGTCAGCACCCATGTTTAAGTCTTGAGAAAATAATAAACATATTTTGTAAACTTGTATTCATTTGAAGGTTGCATTTCTTTCTTGTAGTAGTTGACAGGGATAAATGGTGAGCATTCAGAAACTAAAGCAGCGTCCATTTGAGCAACAGACGGACGGGGAGAAACTGAATGGCTGCGCAAAGTCATTTCATGAAAAGACAAATGAAAGGCATTAAAAAACCTCTCTATTTACCCCACCTACCATTATATATGCAGTCAACTAATAATAAGAGTTTTGACAAATGGTCAGAATAATGTCCAATATCCACCAAGAACTTGTTGAAAAACACCTCTTGATTTGCTTACAAACCCAATCTTGCCACACTGTCGCATTACAAAGCAACATCCCCATGATGGACTCTCTGAACAATAGCTAGCGCAAATAATGTAATAATGTTGACACATCCTTGCCTTAGAAATTGTAAAACTTTGTGGTGCAGTGGGGACCCAGTGTGGGTCAAATTGTTTATGGAATACTGGCACAGCAAATATTAGCTTCTGCCTGGTTGTTGCTAGACAACCATTGTATATAATAAGTTGGTCATGAATGTGCATTCAGTGAATGAGACTGGCAAAATACGACCACTAGATGGCTCTGTTCACAATTGACAGCGAAGCAGATTTCAACTTTTTCCATTGCTTAGATGTGGGATGGGTGTGATATTAAAGGGAAAACCCCAATAATTAGGTTCAAACAGTGGCGTACGCAGGATTTTTTCAAGGGGGGTGTTTCAAAATTGGATGTCGTCATTTATGACGCTAGAAATGAAGATGGTAAATTGTGTTGGCGCCAGAAATAAAAGAGGGTATATTTGGACGGGTTAAACTCGAAGGGCCGGGAACCCACGACCATCAGTTATCTTTTTGAGCTAAAGCATAGTAAATCGGGAAAAAATGTTCTGTGTCTTTAGAGTATGATGAACATATGAGTAAAGGGGTCAATGTGGGCAGTCCCCTCCCTCAACAGCATTTAAACCAAAAAAAAGAAGAAATTCAAGAAAAAAAGTGACACGGGCTGCGGAAGTGCTAGGATCTGTTCTTGTTATTGGCTAAAATCACTCAGCTTCGTCCCCTGGATCTCATGATTCTCATCCGTTGGGAATCTTTGTGTAAACCGCCCCCACCCCTGAGGCCAAACTTCAGATACAGGATACATATGCGCTCTTGTCACAGGAGCGGATTCAGACTGCCATTTGCCGGGGGGCCTAGAATTATTGTAATGAAGGGTCCAGGACCTGCGAAGCCCTTACGGCGTGGGGTCCGGGGCCCGCTTAAGGGCCCCGGAAAAAATTTGGATTTTAGATGCCCTGTGGTGCAATCTGAGGCGATTCCTGGCCACTTCCACCGTTTAGAAAACGTTTTAAACATCGAAAATTCCATTTAAATGTGTTATTTTTTTATTTTTTTATAAAGTTTGTTACGTACTCAAAGTTGAGAACCATGTTCCATCTCCGTATTTTTTCACAATTTTCTATTTTGGAAAGGGATTTATGCCACTTGTAGAGCCATTCGCTGCTGAAGGTACAAAATGGTGGGGGCACCGCTAGGGTGAAATTATAGCATAGAGGGAATTTGAATCCCGGGACATACCGTTATTTCGTTTTACCGTTTTGGATTTCCTCAAAAACAAAAACAGTAAACGAATCATCGACCGTTTTGTCGTTTTACAGTGTTATAAAACGACAAGCGGTATTAAGATAAATACGGTTTCTCCGTTTTATAAGTTTAGTAAAATTCATTATAGCATAACGATCAATGATTTTTGTTTTACAGATTACACAAATACAGACTGTTTTTTTATTCCAGTGTCATGGTTAACAGTCCGTGGTGCATTTTGTGGCGGTGGGCAAGGGGGTGGAGGGGGACCATGTTTTACACGAAGAAGTGTTACCTCGGCATAATTAATGCGTGATGTGATTCCTGGCGCGGCCCCTGACCCCTTTCTCATGCGATTCAGTCAAGTTGGTGGGGCTTAAAAGAGTTCCAAGCAAAATGGCGCTGGAAAACTTCAAGGGAGGACATTACTTTTCACAATGGAAACAGGATGGTAATAAGACGTTTGATGAAGTTGCAGACATTTTGAAGGACACTGGGGTTCAAGTCGACGCGGCTCTTCAATAGCCAATTCGCAAATTTTGTCGTGAGAACAAAATGTAAGGAGCGGGGCCCAGGCAATGACTCGATCCCAAGGACGCATTAATTAACATTCCGGTGCATTGCTTAATTGCCGAATCTAAAATCAAAAAATGGTCGGCAAGACTATTGACCGTTTTGTCATTGTCATGATTTTGTAAAACAACACTCTAAAAATAAAGCAACTAACCGTTTAACGCTTTCTACAATTAAAAACAACAACAAAAAGTACTTTGTGTGAGTGACTTAATACCTTTGACCGTTTTGCAAAACTGTAAAACGAGAAAACGGTCAATGGTTCGTTTACTGTTTTTGTTTTTGAGGAAATCCAAAACAGTAAAACGAAATAACGGTATGTCCCGGGATTAATTTGGCCGGAGGACCAATGCGAGCGCGGAGCGCGAAGCACTTACGGCGTGGGGTCCGGGGCCCGCTTAAGGGCCCCGGGAAATTTTGGATCGTAGATGCTCTGTGGTGCAATCTGAGGCGTTTCCTGGCCACTTTCACCTGTTTTTTTTAGCAGAAGTTTTTTAAATTATGAGGGGATATTTTGTTTCATTTGTTTCAAATAAATATAGGCCTATATACTCTTGCTCTTATAAAGTGTCTTCTGTATTCAAAGCTTAAAGCTGAGAACATGCACATAATTTGTAATTGTTCCGCGCTCGGTCACATAACTCTCTTTTCCCTCCATATTTTTACATGGCAAAGGGGCTGTTTAACAGCCAAAACACCCCCCTGCGTACGCGCCTGGGTTCAAACCATGATTGCCATGACAATATTCACAGTCATGGGCGTCGCCAGGATTTTTTTCCCCAAGGGGGGGGGGGGGGACAAAGCAAATTTTCCCCACAATTGCTTAACTTTTTTATTATATTTTCAATTTATCATTTTTCCGAGCGTGAGCAGGGGAGCATTTGCCCTACCCCCCCCCCCCCCATAAAATTAAACAGCAATATGGCTTCGCACCTCTTTTTTTCCTGTTTTTTCTTCCCTTTTTCTTTTTTGTTTGTTTTTTGTTTTCCGCCCATGTTCATAGTGTAATGGATGGGGAGGTGATCATTACTTCTTTTAACTTTAAAACAAGTAAATGACAATTTGCATGTCAGAAATTTGTCAGAACTAGAAACTAATGAAACAATGAGATTTATACAAGTTTTTATGAAATTTAAACGTGTATGTATGGATTACATATTTGAAAAGCTTGAGAGTTAGATCAGGTATTTCAAAAGCTAAAAATCAAGAAAACAATTGTCAATTGTGTTAGCTTCCAACTTTTTATTTATTCAAATACCACTTCATACTTAAACAGTCCAAATACTAAACAGCATAAAGTAGTACACTAAGTTTGATAATAAAATTAGTGTCACTGCAATGTGTAATATAATCAAAGTTAGATATCAACAAGACAATGTGCCTGAAATAATCACGTGAATTAAAAAGTTCTGTCAACATGTCTGAATTTTCTTCTTTTTGCAAAGCACAATGTTACACAAAATGATCGTCAAAAAACAACAAAACCTGCAGTACATTGTTTTTATCTAATAACAAATGAGGTGTTGTCCATATTGAAATTATTGTGCCATAACAAGAATGACAGGTTTATGTCTTGACAATAGGTGTTAAAGTCCAACAAAAGTCCAACAATCAGACCAAATCCCATCATGAGATGATGTTTGTCAATAAGGTCAAGGGAGTTCACCAGATCATTTTGGCAGCAAGCATGCCCTCGAGTCTCTCAGGTGTGGATAGCACTGTGGCATTCATCAGTAATAAGCCTGTGGGTCGTTCCTTCACGTAACTGGTCTTTTTATAGATTGAGCTGCTAATCACCGAAACAGTCAGGGAAAGTGAACCATAATGCCTACTGATGAGAAAAGAATCACAACAAGTGTCTAGCCATGCAAGAAACATTATTTATTGCATCACAATTCACAGGACACTTTTATGCGTGTACTAAACCTGAATTTTCAAAAAAACAATTAGAAGCAAAAATCAAGGTTTGTACAAATGACACCCCTGCGTTTATCTGAGGATTATCCGTTATTAACATTCCTTCTTTCAGGAAGAGTAAATGAATATTGCGTGGATAAAAGCATTCTCGCAGTTGATTTGTGTATGTCACATACCTACCACACTCCTCTCCCCCTTAGAAGAAAACATGTTTTAATGAAAAATCTAAATTATTCTAATAGATCTACGATATCAATCCTTGAGTTCTTCTTCATCGTATCTATCAACTGGAGATTCAACTGGGTAGTAATACCAATGGCCGTCACCTCGTTTCCGCATCAGTCGCTTCACTGTCTTCTCAGCTTGCCTGTTTATTAAAAAAACAAAAAACAAACAAACTTACAAAACAAACAAAACATTATGCTACCAACTATTTCATTGTAGGGATGACTCCATAAAATAGAGTGTAACATGGGAAACTGAATCTGACACATATTACATGTATAAATAAAACGAGGATCTTCAGGTTACAGATTCTCCTAATGAAACGTGTCAACTGTTAAAGCATCATGCCTCTTCATTCTCAAATGCTTTGCATGGGACCCACAGCTCGGGCCGGAAGTAAATTGTCCATCTTCTACAATCCAACAAATGAGCTTAATATCCTGGTTCCACACCCTGTGCTCGCAGAAGTTCTGCACTAAAAACTTACAAGCACAGAATCCTAGAACTACCAAGAATGTGTCATTGGGTACATTACAATTTGGGACAATTTCTTGGGGAATGTGTTGGGGGCTTAGTGAAATGATCTGAACCATTGAAGCAACTGAACAGTGCCCTGACCTAGCCTCAATCTTCTCCTGCTCAATGGCCAGGTAGTGTGCCATCTTCTCATACTCCTGCTGAGGTGTGTTGACGAAATGCCTACTGATGAAGCGTGTGATTGGATGCTGTAACAACAACATGAGAAAATACAAACATTATAGATGTCTTACCTTTTATAGACATAAGTTGTAAGTCACCTCTTCAAACCTCTCTCAAATCAACCTGTGATTACTCAGCAGCTATGGACGCCTTGTTCCTCCTCAATGGTTACATAGGGTGAACAGTTAACCACTACGCACCTAGCACCTATACTAATATGTTGCATGTTTATGCACATCAAAATGAACATTAGCAGTGTGTACCCATGACAGCAAGAACTTGAGTACTTATAGGGTGTCATGAATAGTGAATGGTCACTTAGCACCATTTACAAAATTTACTTATGGACAAAGTCTATTGTGGCAACATTTGTGGTACAGGTTAATTGATTCAAATGTATAAATTGTGGGCTTTGTGTGAAAGTACCCCCTCTTGGTACCATTATTATTGGTGCTCAGGACACTACATCATTATTATCCCTGCTTGTTGGGCCCATGAAACATTCCAAAGACAATCTCAGCTCCCTGGGGAGTATACAGCTCCATGCTGTGCCCATTGGGTGTTATAATGGCATATCCCACAGCAGTCAACAACTATTAATTGTTATACCATGGTAATAGATTGTGCATTTGTATTGGTTCATCATTGATCACGTGTCATGCCACAAACACACATGTACAGCGATTTACGCCGGGCGAGCGTGCTACATGGGTGATGTACCCCATGGGGTACATTACTTTTTTTTTCCCCACTGTTGAAAATGTTGTTTCCACCACCTTGTATTATATTTGTGTGATCTCGGGTACAAGGTTGTAGCTAGGCTGGTACTACGTAAATCTATGTAAGTTTTTACGAGATGTGCCATGGGGGACAGTGAAGCAATTTTTCCACTATGACCATCATTGTTGCTTACATCGTTCGTCACTGTTCATCTGCTTTGTTTAACTGTGCAAATTTTGCCCTAATTTCACCACAATTATGTTGGCAAATGACAACAGGTCGCCTCCAATTTAAAAAGAGGTTTCTCTCTTGTTCCAAAGACGAAATCAGAAATTTGATTCTTGAACAGGACAGCATCAGCACGAAGAAAGATATGGAAAATTCTGTGCAAAACGTCCGTAAATTCTGTACTGCAACAGGAAGAGACCCCCAGTTTCAGACGTTAGTATTTATATAACTGACATACAGATCCTAGTCATTTGATTGGTGGAACTCACATCACGTGACATTCGTTATTGCTCCCATTCACGCCGCGGCTCAAAAAGTACTATCCGCCCATGGGGAATGAGAAATACTATTCAACAGTTAGGATCATGACACGGTATTTGTGTGCAAATGCATGCTGGTGAGCGCGTTCAGCGCTGCGCGTATTGTTCCAAAGAGCCAGCGCTACAGCGTTGGGTTCAAACATTTTCGTGAAGGGGTGGTTTGGAAGAGAGAAATACATTTTCCTCCAGTTTTGTATTGAAAAAAAAGTTCAAATATATCAAATGACCAGGATCTATATGTCAGTTATATAAAACAAATATTGAGTGGCTTTAAATTGTGAAATGGTAAAATCTGAACTTTTCCAGTTCGGCTTCGCCTCGTGAAATGGAAAAGTCCAGATTTTACCTTGCGATAATATTCCTCCCATTCCAGGCTGAGCCACTCAATATTTGTAAACTATTACCGTGGTATAACAAAACAATGGGTTTCATACACCAGAGGGGGAAACTGGCACCCTCGGCTTTGCCTCAGGTGACCCCCTTGGGTGTACAAAACCCCACGGACCCTGCCACATCAGGCATCAATTGTATAATGTTTACCTGATGGTACTCGTATTCCTTCGGTACATAACCCTCAGGGATTTCTGCCAACTGTGCAGGTCCTGTAAGGAAAGCACAGGGGACAATGAGAATTGATCACGGCATAATGGAAAAACAAGGGGAAACACGAGAAAGAAAAAGTTCAAAATGAGAGCTTCAAAATTTGTTTCAAATTCAAACTTCTTTGGTGAGCTAGATTGGCCCTTTTCTCTTGGAGATCCTTCACAATCCACCAGGAGGTCTGGGGGATTGTGCAGGATGGTAGAGAATGGCCACAACTACACGTACTTACAATAAGGCGTAATACATGTCAAACACATCAATGTAGCGCAGGCTTGTCTGCACAGTGCAGGATTTGGTAGGATCCAGGAAGGCTTTGTTTGTCCTTGCAAACATGCCTACATGTAGATAGACACAGAGTGGTGGTGGTGTGTTTTCTTACCTATAAAAACGTTGACAAACGTAATACCCACAACACATGGTATTCCAGTCAGGAGTATGTAGTATCTCTGTTGATGGAAGGTGGAGAAATAAAACCAGTTGACCATCACATGAAAGAGAGTGTAGATTTCTTCAATGCTTTTTGTAAGGCAGATATCAAGTTAGGGCTGTCTTGAATATACCGAATATTCCAATATTCAGTAATCAAACAAATATTTGAATAGCTTTTTTTCTGTTTAAATTTGAAAAAAAGACAGAAAAAAACTTAAAAAGTATGCATGTACACACACCTGTGATGTTGTTTGAATCATAAGGTTGCGGCTCTTTGTCTACTGCAAAACACTCCATTTGCCCATAGGTAAAAGTCAAAACGGTCGCTCACCGTGGGAGGCTCATGTGATAATAAAGCTACTGAGCATCCAGACATCGTGTTAAGTATAGCAAGTTCAACTCAAAAATGGTTTATCTCATTTGCTAAGGTCACGTAGAACATCCGCCTCAGCAAAAAACACGTGCTAAAAAGAGCCTTCACTCTTCCATTTTTACCGTTTGCTACACGAGGTCTGAGCCTCTCACCGTCGTGATGTGTGTTGCCGTGTTTGACATCATAGCCTCGGCCGGTCATAGCGTGGCACGTGGTAAACATGACAACAGTCACTAGTCCACCACGGCGTTTCCCCAGTATCGTACATTGGCCTTACACCATTTGTGTTTACATTTTGTGGGCTATTTTCTGTACCTACCTTTCGTGGTGCAAAAAGACATAATCAGGGCTGCCAACTCTCACGCCAACTCTCACGCATTGAGCGTGAGACTCAAGCATTTCAGGTTTTTCTCACGCTTTCACAGCCGCACGGGAATTCTCTCCCTCCATGAGGTTTTAAGTTGCCCTTTTAGCGACAAGTTGAGCTCGATTCGGTCTAAATATAGAAGTGTTCAGACATCGTTTTAGCAAGAAGTTACACCGAATCGAGTTCAACCGGTGTTTTAAGGGAATTTAAAACGGTGTCTGAACGACCCCCAAAAAGGTGTCTAATCTGTGAATACATACCATTGCCTTGAGGAATCTCCTGTCAGAGTAGCGGGTTGGAGTGACAAAGAACTTCCTAGCCTTGCCACCACCGGCCATACCACGCTGAATGACTGCATGTGAAACACAACAAAATGTTGAGACAATTGGCCTGGATCATGTCAGTCAAACTATTCTTACAGGGTCACTGGTTGTACTGACGTGGCCTGGATACTTGACTTTTCACCCAAGTGTTGTGCACTTTTGACCAATACTGAATGACAGGCAACAGCCGCACTGATGCACTTTGCCAAAATTTGACGCAAGCTAGCAAGGGCGCGATTATCACAACTCATGACGATGACGTCATTGCAGCATGAAGTTTTCGTGAACAATGGCAGCAGAAATATGTCCGAATTCAACCCGAAATTACAAGATAACTAGACCTCAGAAGGTAATTCAACATTTTTTTGCTAGTAAGCAGTTGTAGACGGGATTGTGTGATTATAAAGTGACAAAATAATTCCAATCTTAATTTGATTTTCGCTCCCGTAGCAACGGGAACTTCCATGCACAGGGCATATGGCATTTTGTACGGAGTAGTCCAGTATTTCAGCCACATTTATGGGGCTAGTCTGCCACTAGCTCAGGTGGACTCTCTTGCCACATATTGTTACGGAGGGAGTCCAGGGTATGAAGTATTCAAAACAGGGTGAAAAAATTTATAATCAATATTTTCAATATTTTTACCTTTTTGATAAAGCCAATTTCGCGTCCATGTATTCTATATGTCCTTATCTGTGCAGCGGGTATTTAATTCCAAACATCATGATGCACGATGCGTTTGACTGCGAGTACCTTCTGGGTGAAACGCATAACGCACGAAACAGTCATTGCCTAGCGGCGCCTGAAAGCGGTATGGTACCCACATACATCGCGTGCACAGATTTTTCAATTGTCTTCACGTGATGCATTGCATTTGCATAATTACCCAACAACATGGACGACAGCCGTGGTACTTGACATTGTTTATGGACAAGCCACCAAAATCACCAACAGTTTTCATATTTTAGTTTTGTTGGTTCTGTTTCAAGTCGATCATTAGCTTCGTGAATGACTGCATGGTATGAGGCATTTGATTATCGACGCAGGTAACAGTCGTGTCCCCTGCTTCACGTACGTGTTTGTATGTACGTCCATAGACAATATGTTAGATCACAGCCAATTACGTTATTGAAAGATCGCTGTATGATGTCTCGATCTATGCTATAGTGGTTGAATTTCACGGATTTGCAACCCAAAAAATAATCGTGAGTATGAAGCCCCATTATTTCGTCTTTGACATGTGGAGAAGCCAGTACTCCAGTAGGTGCTTTCAAACTAAAGGTATTTTTGTCAAGTATTTTGCGTGATTTTTGTGGTGAACTTTGAAATTGTAACATTGACAATACTTCCCTAGTGGGACGCTAGTATGACAGACCTACTCCTAAGAACCCCGCAAAATAGTTTTCAGCACAAAACACTAATTAACTACAAAAACGTCCATCAAAATGCAGACATTTCCCACAGAACCTCTGCACAGTTTGCCCCCGAACTCCGTACTACACCTCATGACATACTCATGTAATATGCGCAGAACAAACATCGCTGGATTTTGTCGTTTTTTTTTGCTAAAATGATGAAAAATATGCCCTTTCCGCACTGAGCCAACCTGACACTTGAAACGTGCATGCATATGATCCAGCGATGATTTTCGGTTCGCTCGGTGCACGCCGCGGGGGGTACGGTACTTGCACTTGTACGCATGCGCATACTATCATTTCGCTTGCACCATACCCCCCGCGGCACGCACTGAGCGAACCGAAAATCATCGCTGGATCATATGCATGCACGTTTCAAGTGTCAGGTTGGCTCAGTGCGGAAAGGGCATATTTTTCATCATTTTAGCCAAAAAAACCGACAAAATCCAGCGATGTTTGTTCTGCACATATTACGTGAGTATGTCATGAGGTGTAGTACGGAGTTTGGGGGCAAACTGTGCAGCGGTTCTGTGGGAAATGTCTGCATTTTGATGGACGTTTTTGTACTTACTTAGTGTTTTGTGCTGAAAACAATTTTGCGGGGTTCTTAATCTATGAGGCTCCACTACATGGAGCCTCATAGTTCTAGGAGTATGACAGACCAACATCCCAAATGTCAAAAAAGGAGTTCTTCTAGCGCCCCACTTAGCCTTAGTGGGGCTAAGACTAGGGTAATCCTTACTTTTAGGACACCTCTATTTTTAACAAGTTCTGTTCAAAACTGACTTTTGCAGATGACTGTCCAGTACCAAAGTGACTTTTGCAGGCTAAAGCAGTCTTTTTTCTTCATATAAATTCATGTTAGTTGTAGTTTTGAAAGCACTTTCGAAGAAAATGTGACTTTCCTACCTTTTTTCGCAGTCAGACGTGCATGTTGTTGTAGTTCTCACACGCATGAAAGCCCTACATAATGAAAGCCCGATGCTGATTGGCTGCTTAAAAAATTAATTAGTCTGGTTCCCAGACCAGAGATTCTGACTACTCCTGAATCTTTTGGTCTGGGAACCAGACTAAAAATAAATAAGTTAGTCTGGTTCTCAGACCAAAAGATTCTTACTATTCCTGAATCTTTTGGTCTGGGAACCAGACTAAAAATAATAAGATGTTAATTTTTTATCAGCCAATCAGCATCGAGCTTTCATCGCATCTAGCTTTCACGTTTGCCATCTTGGTTTTTGAGTCTGTTTTCTGGTCGTCACCGTCGTCTTTTACCCCTTAATTTCCCTCATAAATCAAAGCCCTGCCCCCTTTCCACAAAATTAAACCTGCTGATATTCAAGAAGGTGTCACTGCCATTTGTTCAGATGTGTCAAGAAATATCAGAATGTCAATTTTGAGTGTCATTTAGTCAACTGTTTTGGTGAGTCTTTCCCTTCCTATATAGAAACGGGGTCCTAAAAGTAAGGATTACCAAGACTAGTGACTAGGGCTAAGATAAAGCATAACAATGCATAAAGCGTAGGGCAGGGTTTTGAATTTTTGAGGGAAATTTGGGGGTAAAATGACGATGACAACGACAAAAAGCAACACGAAAATAAAAATGGTGACACTGTGCGATGTACCGTGAGAGTACTCCTAGAACTATGAGGCTCCACGTACCGTAATTTCCTGCGGATAAGACGCGTCTTATCTGACTTTCTAGACCACAAAAACATCGCTGCGCCTTATCTACAGGTGCGCCTTATCTGGTGTCGCTTGAGTTCAAAGTGACGGTCTTTGTGTGAAGAATTCTTTCAATGCCGCAATCAATAATGCGGTCAACCAAGGCTCAACTCTCCAGACATTGTGACCGTATTTTCATTCCAACAATGCCGCGATGTGTTGATCCCCCATGATCGTGCTTTCATTCCAACAATGCCGCAATGCATTGATCCCCCTTAGTGATCGTGCTTTCGTTCCAACAATGCCGTCATACAAACGTTTTTCTTTGTGGCCGTTTTTTCATTCCGAAAATGCTGCAATCAGAATTACTTAAACGTTTGGAAATCGCATTCACTCAAGTTCTATTGTGTGAACGTTGAGGGTGTTTATTGTACAGGATATCTTCGAAGTCTGCTTTAGACTTAGGATAATATGAAGTACTAATGTTTATTTGTTGCACTTTCGTTTGTTTCATTAAACGTTCAAATCGTTCATTTATTGCTTGCCTCTTTTTAGACGTTTGTTTTAGAAAGTATTATGGGAATTTGTATTATCTTATTATAATAGTAGGTCAGGATTTTTATTTTAAATATGGTAATAGGAGTTTTGTTTTAAGAAATTTTTATATTTAGGATAATATTATGATAAGACTTATGTAAGATATCAAATAAGTTTAATGATCTTGAAAACAAAACTAACACTAAGAGAAGCGATGTATTAAACATGATTAACAAATTATAGGTTTGAAATAAAGGAAAAGAACTTTAAATACAAAAAAACATTACAACAATTTTTAAAAAATATAATAAAACATTTTTGTTACGTCTCCCCTGGTGTGACGGGATTATTTTCGTATGGTATATACATATAGGCGACGCTAGTTTTTGTATTAGTCACCGGTAGAGGGCGCAACATCTGGCTCGGAGGGACTGGGCAAGTCTACGAATCTGATCCAGCGTGCGTGTTGCAATATCTTCAGACAGCGCGTGGACCATCGTTTCTGGCCGCTGATTGGGCCGCTCTGCATTAACAAAAGGCCAAGGAAGGCCAGGATCGGAAACCGCAAGCAAGCATGCACAGCGCGCGTTGGCTGAATGGATGAAGGTCGGTATCAATTTACATTGGTCTTTTCTTCATGGCTCTACATGTGACCAGCCAATGTGGTTACGGTTTAATTCATCCTCCGAATAGTGTGATCGTTCTAAGGCAACACAATGGCCCCTTTGTGGCGATGTACCGACACCGGGTGACGCCTGGTGTTCTTCTGTGTGCGGTCAAACATGCATCTTATGCGGCGGGGCGCCTTATCTGTTGGCGTTTGAATTTTTTTTGGGTGATTTTAGGGACCTGCGCCTTATCCGCCGCGCGCCTTATCCGCAGGAAATTACGGTAGTACTACGTGGAGCCTCATAGTTCTAGGAGTACCGTGAGAGTGCAATGCGCGCTGAATCGCACCATGGAGGAATAAAAACACATCACACGGCATTCCCGGCACCACCGTCATAGGAAAATTGTTATTTCTACTCCAAGAAACTGTTCAAAAATTACAAAAAAGGTGTCATTATATTGAGAGAAGTCTGGTTTATGTTGAAAAGGTCTTTTTGAGTAATAAAAAAACTCTTGACTCTCATTTGGGGCCCTACACGATCGCCTTTAAAAGACCGCGGGCATGGCGGGTCCGCGTTAGCCCAGGTTGGATGAAGTCTTCATTGCAATACGACTAACGTCCAGGACGAGAATTCTCTACATGAAACCACCCAACATTTTTACCAGAGTTTTGTTATTTTTTACCTCGTTATATAAGCTTATTATATATGGGTTCAGGAATTCCATATGTGATGCTGACTGATGTTAATCAGGAAAATAAACTCCAAAGCAACGTTAAACTTGTACGTGTTTGTAGTCTCTTTTCATCAGTTTATTCCAAAGTCGTACGTCATGTACAATGTACATGCGTACGAAAGCACGTACGCACAGTGGCGCCCTCATTTGTTTAGTTTTGGTTGGAACTGTGACGTCACTCCAGTCAACCGATGTCGCGAAAACGCTCAACCAATGACCAAAGCCGAAACGTGTTTCTGGTAACTGGCGCGAAAACACGCTCGGTCATTGGATTAGCGACCGCACCTTCAAGTAAGTGCGCGTGCGTATGAGGGTGGTTACTAAGCAAATCGCGCGTGCGCACTGCATATTCATGCCGCATAGTCTGTCCCCCGGACCAGACGTGATATGAGCGTCGAGAATAATTTTCCGGTCTAGGGAACCAGACTACACGCTGCACAGACGTACTCCTAGAACTATGAGGCTCCACGTAGTGGAGCCTCATAGGTTCAGAACCCCGCAAAATTGTTGTCAGCACAAAACACTAATTAAGTACAAAAACGTCCATCCCAACCAAGCTTTTTCCCACAGAACCGCTGCACAGGTTGGCTCAGTGCAGAAAGGGCATATTTTTCATCATTTTTGCCAAAAACAGACAGAATCCTCGGATGTTTGTTGGGTGCACATAACGTATGTCATGAGGTATTGTATGGAGTTTAGGGGCAAACTGTGCAGCGGTTCTGTGGGAAACAGCTTGGTTGGGATGGACGTTTTTGTACTTAATTAGTGTTTTGTGCTGACAACAATTTTGCAGGGTTCTGAACCTATGATAGTTCTAGCAGTAGCACAGACGTACATGATGTACGACTAGAATAGACTCGGCGGTGAGAAACTGATGAAAAGAGACTAAAAACACGTACAAGTTTAACGTTGATTTCGAGTTTATTTCCTGATTGACGTCAGTCAGCATCGCATATGGAATTCCTGAACCCAGCGACCCAACAGATAAGGACACATAGAATACCACGGCGTAAAAATTAGCTTCTCCAACAAGGTAAAAATATTGAAATTATTGGTCAGAAATGTTTTCGTTCGGTTGCGAGCACATGAGTACCCAGGACTCCCTCCGTAACGTAGGGAGGAAAGGGAGTCCACCAGGGAATGTCGGACACTTCGCCCCATTTCCACGTCGCCCCATGTCACTTCGCCCCTAACCACTTCGCCCCATTCCCACTTCGCCCCATCCCCACTTCGCCCCATCCCCACTTCGCCCCATTCCCACTTCGCTCCATTCCCACTTCGCCCCATCCCCACTTCGCCCCAGCCATTACATGTAAAAAAAACCTCATTTACACATGTATTTTATTGGCTTAGAAACAATTCCAACAGATTTACTAATTGCTAACCAACGGAAAGAATTAGCCCACCAAATGAACAATTCTTAACCAACCTCTCTAGCTATCAGTTTCCCCTACCGAGAAAAAAAGCTTGAAGTAAAAGATCCAACTTTGTTCCCAACCCGTCTAATTCTACCTCCATGGCTATACCAACCCATCTCCCACTTATCTGAGAAGACAATACCTTTTTGACATCTTAATTTCACTCTTGGCGGACCCAATCTACATGGGGCGAAGTGGGTTTGGGGCGAAGTGGGGATGGGGCGAAGCGGGGATGGGGCGAAGCGGGGATGGGGCGAAGCGGGGATGGGGCGAAGCGGGGATGGGGCGAAGCTAGTCCGAAATTTGGGACTCTCAATACTGTGTATGAGAGTCCCAAAACTTAAGGTATTGAAAACATGCAAAACAAGAAACTAGACTGGCACCTGAAACAACCAGTCCAACACAGCTTCAGTACTGCATCAATCAACTATGCCAAAAGAATTTAAGAAACATGTGACATGAAGCGGGAACAAGTCTCAATTTACTACACATTTCTCCATAGTCAAGCCACCAGACTATTGACACTGAATGAAGAGGTCAGTCTTTTCAAATAGTTGGACCATGGATGGACATGTACCAGTCTAGTATTTCATGTATTTAGCCCCATTTTGAAATCACTTGACTTCCCTCTCATGTGCAAAATATTGAAGAAAAGTCTCCTTTAAAAATGGAATTGAGCCTGCAAACTTGGTTGGTGAAATACAGAGGACATTTTCTTTGCCCCAGTGGAATTTTTGGAGAAATTTGCTTGCTAAACTGTGAGTAAAGTGGGCCTGATTTAGTTTTGCATGTTTCAGAGCACTCCAGAGCCCTGTCTGGGGCGAAGCGGGGATGGGGCGAAGCGGGGATGGGGCGAAGCGGGGATGGGGCGAAGCGGGGATGGGGCGAAGCGGGGATGGGGCGAAGCGGGGATGGGGCGAAGCGGGGATGGGGCGAAGCGGGGATGGGGCGAAGCGGGGATGGGGCGAAGCGGGGATGGGGCGAAGTGGTTAGGGGCGAAGTGACATGGGGCGACGTGGAAATGGGGCGAAGCGTCCGACACCCCCACCAGGGAAAGGTCCGCGTATATTTCTCCATTGTCCGTAAACTGGACCCAAATATCTTGCATTGAATTCAAATATATTTCAAGTAAATATTATTATTCTTTTTCTCTAAATATCTTCTCTTACCTTGCGTGGCATTCGGAGAAGAGTTTGCCTTCAAACAGCTTAGAAACTGAGGCGTTTTTAATCTCAAAAATTGGAGGTGCCTTGACAAACTCTGCGACAGCGCCGCCATCTTTTTCGAGTAATTGACTATGCATTTTGTGTCGTCACGCAACGTCATAAAAGCGGTCCTACTAAAGCGCGTCAACAAGCGTCAACAAGCGTCAACAAGCGTCAACAAGTTTTAGTAGTCGTTAAGTGCGCGTCAACAACTTTTGTATAGGCCTTTGAACAATAAAAACAGCTTTATATGGTAGAACAAGCAATAATGAACATCTTCTGCATATCAATTAAAGTTAAAATTTTTTTAAAACTTGGTTTTTTGAACGCGAAATGTACGACGAATTTGTCGATAAAAGTTGGCCGCCATCTTGTTTATGTGTAGCTAGCCGTACTACGCATGCGTGAAGTGTAAAGAGCAATACTACGCATGCGCGAAGTCTACAGCGCCATCCAAACAAGATGGCGGCCTACTTTTATCGACAAATTCGTCGTACATTTCGCGTTCAAAAAACCAAGTTTTAAAATAATTTTAACTTTAATTGATATGCAGAAGATGTTCAGTATTGCTTTTTCTACCATATAAAGCTGTTTTTATTGTTCAAAGGCCTATACAAAATTTGTTGACGCGCACTTAACGACTACTAAAATTTGTTGACGCTTGTTGACGCTTGTTGACGCTTGTTGACGCGCTTTAGTAGGACCCTCATAAAAGCGTACGATGAATATTTATTTCCTCGCCTTAGTTGCGCGCCAACAAAAATTATCCCTGATCTTTCTTAAAAACAACATGAGAAATGAACCCCGTTATAAGTTAACAAATAAATTCAGGTACCAGAGAGAACCCAATCTTCAGTGAACATTGCGATGTGACAATTTCGCTCGTACCCCCCCCCCCCCTCCCTGCAGGGCCGGGGGGGGGGGGGGGGAGGTGTCCGTAATTACAACTCAACCTGCTACATTACAACATACACAGAATCGGCGGCGCCGTCTGATCTGTTGGCGCTCAGGAGCAATGCGGCAATGTGTTTTTCACTGGAAATTAAAGATAACGACCTCGAGGACAATTTTCTTATAATTTTGCCAGAGATAGCCCCATCAATTTTTGTTATAATATTCCCTCAAATGCTTGATCTCCAGAAATATTTCTACAATCTGTCCGAAGTATAGGTCGCAAGGACCTCTTATTCAAAATTATCAGTGGGATCACAAAGGATGATCGCGCGCAGTAATTTACAGCTTTTGTTGTTTACACCGGCGCGGCGGCATCCGTTTAGATATTATGACGTCACTCGTCCTACCAGGCGACCCAATTTCCTTTGTTTTATGAAAACTAGTCCAGGGCCAGTCAAAAATGTGCGTGTTCGGAAGGGGCAGTTGAGAACTGCACCTCGTGCAAACAATGCACATTATTCAATGGTGTGAACGCACGCTCGCAAGTTAAACGCATCGCCCTACAACTGTAGGGCGTAGTTGTAGGGCGATACCATATTGTATTAGAGTTGCTCAGTCGACCGCCTACATACAGTGCAGTGATGGTTGCTCAGTTGACTACAAGATGCATGTGCCCGTGCATGTCACTCACGTATATGTACGTACGAAGACATGGTGTGCAGTCCTATCGCCCTACAATGTGCCCGTCATTTTTGCAGGGCCCGTCAAAAAAAGCACCTGTTCGTTAGGGGCAATTTCAAAATTCTCATATCATGCAAACAACGCACACGATTCAATTGTGTTGTTTTCACAGGTTAAACTCACACTCATAGGTTGAGCGCACTTTGTACATGTCGGCAGGCCATCCCCGGCACTGATATTCACCAATACGCCCGTGCAGCTACTCACCTACGTGAGTAAGGTTGCTCAATCCACCGCCTACAATAGTGGTTCAATCGACTGTAAAATGCATGTGCCCGTGCAGTCATCACGTACGGAAACATATGGTACGCAGTGCTATTCACCCATACTGGACAATGGTATCGCCCTACAATGCACGTGTGCGTGCCCGTCCCTTTTGCATTGTTTGCGTCATATTGAGCACGCGCGCTCTTGCTTTAACATGACGTAAACAATTGAAAAGAACGGCAGTGCGCGGAGTTCTAGGCTATATTCTGGCGCGCTAGGTCTCAGAAAATACTGCTTTTTTTGCAGCTTTTTCGAGAACCGCTGGTCCAAACCACTTCAAACTTGGCACTGCACATTCTGTTGTCCCGAGCAATACACCCGCCGATTTTCAACTTCATACGGTGCCCGGTTCTGGAGATAATCGACGGACAGACAGACAGACGGACAGACAGAGATTCCTTGAATTAAAGTAAGGATTGCATTCCCAAAATAAATACGGATTTGCATTCGATGTATGTTGCAATGACAAAACGTTAATTGCAAAGTTAGCAAAGCATCGAATAAATAACCTTTTAACTTGCGGCCTTCACAATTATTGTTTTATCTCAAAGTTCTCTTATAAAAGTTAAGTCATTAATTCATAAAAACAAGACTAAGATTCTTCCAACTTTTTTGCAAGAATTTGCCTAATAACAGTATATACATGTATGTACATTTTGACAATAATAGGCAAGAAGTTGGGCAGCAACTGACTTTTGGTTTTAATTTTGGGCATTTATAGTCATCTTATAAGAATGTCAAACAAGAAGCGGATCACGCGAGGACTTCCCGGCCGGGACAGCAGCTTCCTGGCCGGTCTGCCTGACAGCTTACCGTGCGGTGAATCCTTTGATCCCGTGGACGTCTGGAACTGCCTGACTGAAGCCTGCTGCATCAGCGGTCAAAGGCAAACTTTTGAGTGCGTCATTGAGCGGGCAAGACGAAATCGGGGTCAGTATTTTCATGATGCTGCATTGTGGCAAAGTCGGAGAGGAATTTACTTTTATGTATTTGTTGTACAAAAAATCATGCCTGTTTGACATCAAGGCCGCACGGTGGCGCTCTTTAGTTGTGATGATACATTTACGTGCTGCTGGTCCTTCGCTTCAACGTCTTCCACTTTCTTCGCTGTCAATTAAAAAAATCTTCGTCTTGAAGCTCTGGCACGTGTAGGAGCTTCTATATGGCACTTGCTGGTCGGTCTGTCTGTACTGTCTATAGTGTCTGTCCCGAAAATTTACCAAAAGTATGGTGTTCATAATAATTTTTCGGCGTCGCCTTTTTCAGCTCTGGCAGGGATCATTTTGATCGATTTCACACAAGACTTTCAATCATGGAAGACTTCTTGCAACACGACCAGAGCTTATTTAATGCTCGCACTTGTTATACATTGCCCTGCACCTAGTTTGCAGTCCGCCGAGTTGCTACTGTGTTGTCACCAATGTCCTTGCTCTATTTGTCGATGCAGCCATGCAGTCAGTCAGGGCATTCTTGGTTAACGCTTCAATCAGGTTTAAGGGGATCTCGCAAAAAAGCTTTTTTTTTTGCTTGAATGAAATTATGATTGTTTTCAAGTTTACCGCTTAATGTCGGATTAATTTTAAAAAAATATACGCTAAACACAATGCACGTACTGCAGGTTCTTGTGTCTTAACATTCAAATCACCATATCTAAAAAAAACAACGTTTTGGGGTGTTCTGCAGTTTCTTTTTTAAATTTTGGAGACCTGAAGCATTTATTGTAGTTTATTCTTTTGTTATCCTACTTATTGCCCATACAAGCAGAGTTAACAGGCAACAAGGCCAGGAATTACGGGATGTTGCTATGCGTCGCTCAATAGGTATGGATGCATTGGCGCAAGGAATTCGCGAGTTTAACCCTAAAAGGGCCGGGGCGGATTAAAAGGGCCGGGGGGGGGGGGGGGGGGGAATCCGCCCCGGCCCTTTTAGCCTTTTTTGGGGCCCTTTTAGCGATAGCCTTGAATTTTTTTCGGCCCGACCCGAGCTGGTATGACTTTTTAGCCTGGAGCCCAAGTTGCGCATCTTTTGATACCAAAAACATACAAATCGGACCACGGGTTGCCGCGCAGGGAATTTTTTTTACCGCGCTACGCGCCGTGAAAACTGAACTTTCCCATACACGTCGTGTACACAGAGCACAATCACCATTCGTACATATGAATAATTAATTAGTCATAATTCCAAAAGCTTTGACCTATAGTTATGAAATTTCTTGGGTATGTTTATGATGAGTTGCTCTATGCATGTACCGAGTTTCAAAATGTTTCGTCACTCGATGGCCGAGATCTTGGGGGGGGGGGCGGATCCGCCCCCCCCCCTTGCTGAGAGATTGGCAAAATAACCCGGCCCTTTTAGGGTTAATACCACTGCCTTTAATACAATATGACGCGGGTGCTTGATTTCTGTATAGGTATTGTGTGTGTATCACGGTGTGAAGGGGGAGGGAGGAGGGAGGAGGGAGGGAGCTCTCGAGTGACCCGTGGACCCAAGGGCGGCGGAACATTTTTAAAGTGGGGGGGGGGGGGACCAGTTGTGAGACCTTTCGTGCGAAGCCCAAAATTCAAACACCAGTTGAAGCCATTTGGTGCAGCATTTTTACCACTGTACAACGTATATGGGCCTTGTGTGCCAAAAAGAGATGCCTTTTTTGTATTTTTAATTATTTATTTTGAAAGCCCCGTGGACGGTGACACAGGGAGTGTGGTTAGGCCTAGGCCTACTGGTTTGCGCTCCTAGTGCAAAGTACATGACTTATCTTATAGTTATGTACATGTATAATAGCGTAGGGGCAATTTGGTCCAAGGTAATGCGAGAAGCACAAGCCCGTACGGCGTGGGGTTCGGAGCCCAATTAAGGCCCCGAAAAAGTTTGGATTCTAGATGCTATGTGGTGCAATCTGAAGCGATTCCTGGCCATTTTCTCCTGATTTTCTTTTAGCAGAAGTTCTTAAACTTATAAGGAGAAATTTAGTTTAATTTGTTTCAATATACATTTTCTTCCTCTTAATCTTGTAAAGTTTCTTCTGTATTAATTCAAACTTGAGAACATGTAAATAAATTGTAAATTGTTCCAAGGATGCTTTCTGATGTCTAACCTATTTTATAGTTCCCCAATATTTTGTGAACATTTGTGAATTTTAGTTTATCAATATTAAGGGCGAGAAAAATCGCTTGAACATTTATGTAATTTAATAAATCTAAACCTAAAACAGGGAGCAAAATTTTAGGCCCACATGTACATTGCACCTAAAACACTAGATTTAGCCATCTCATGAGTCAAAACAGTCCGAAAATTAAATCATGCGGTCCTCTTATAGGCCCACATGATGTACATTGCACCTCCACAGGTAAAACACTTTTAGCCCTCTCGTTCTCGTTAACTCTTGCGGCGGCTGAGTTTCTCCGTACCCTTTTTGCATGTCATGTGCAGGTTTTTGGCCATCAAATTTTCCCAGAAATTTCTTGGTTTTTAATTCCAGTCCAGTTTCAATTTCAATAATACAGCCTTAACGAGTTGGCATAGCAATAGTTCAGATTTTAAATTTGTAAATAAAACCATCGGTGTGTGTACTGCACAGGTCTCAGACAAAAAAGTCATGGGGCTAGGCCTAGAGTTTGGCAAGCTAACTGCAGATGTAGGCAGGCTAAATTAAGCTCAGTATACAGCGAGTCTGCCGACAAAATAAAGCGGCGATTACGGTACATTCAGGCACGTGCATGGCGCGCTGATCAGACATCAAGAAAAGCGTCCTCAAATTGGAATGGAGGTACATGTCATGTACGTTTGCGGGTTCGTCGTGTGCCGCCGAAACATCCCAGTGCCGTGACTGAAAAGCGGTCTCCTACATGTATAAAATCTGACCGGACAAAATCTGACCGGACAAAAGTTTGTTGCAAGCAGTGGATGACTGAAAACTCCAGTGAGAGTAGACAAGAATTTTTCGTTTATGTTTGACTGAGCGTTAACTAGTTTGTGACCTGATATAAGTGGGGGGTGGGTGGGGGGGGGGGGGGGGGGTTGCCCCCAATGGAAAAAGTTGGGGGGGGGGGGCAGTGCCCCCCTGGCCCCCGGTTCCGCCGCCACTGTTTGGGACATGCATGTATAATCTGGTTCCCAGACCAAAAGATTCTGACTATTCCTGATGAAAAAGGTCAGGTAGCAACCTCGTCCCCAGTGCTTACTTTATTTATTTCCAACCTAGTTTCCAATAGTAAACCATGGATAGGAAACTTTCTTCCTACATCCTGAATCGATACGGCAATTGGCTAGTAATGGATTTTTGTCGTGTACTTGGTGTTGTTATTCACAACGTGCAGTACGTGTTTTCGCGATTATTCGTCCGCGCCTTCTCGAAAATACTCATTTCCTTCCCAATTTGTTCATATTAATATGAAATGTGATACTACATGTTGTCTCGGTAAGATCGTAACAATTTAATTAAATAAATTGTGTTTTTCGTAACTCACGCCATGCTCGCGCTGCGACGAATTGACTCTGCTTTTACCCCAGACACCGCATACAAAAACAAAGGCAAATGTAACGCACATGCAGGCACCAGACTATTCCTTATTTGCATACGTGTTCAAAAATCTTGCACATGCAAATGATCCAATACCAGGGTGAGAGAGCGGGTAGTGATGGGCGCGTACTGCTCGACACCCCTGGGGTCGAGGTTGGGTCAGGTAGCCGCTAGTACTACATTGTATTACAAATATACGTCACGTGACCAGAGCGGGAGTAATGCCTCCTTTCCGAAAATGTCCGAAGTTTGCCAAATTCATTTCGTCGACAATCGGATAGCACCCGGGTATTTCTGAGTATAAAATAGGTTTTTATTAACTGCCTAATTGCTTATTAAAAACTTTTTAACATGAGTTGATAATTAATATTCATTGCTTGCATTTAGAAAACTTGAAATTCAACGACGATTTGTGCATCAAGTATGCTCTCGGATCGTGTACGAGGGGCGAACTTTTTGCTGCGTCATGTACTAGTTTTAATTTGACGAACGTTAGGCCAAAAAAAAAAAATAAGTCGGTCTCTGGTCAGCGCGCGCGTCGATTTTAATCATGCGCGTCAGTCTTGTTTTTTTTTCCAAAATGTTCCGCGGTAGCTCCAACAGCGCCCTCTATTGCCGCACCTCCTCGGTTTTTTTTTTACCAAATAGCACCAAGGAATGGGAAATTGCACCAAGGCAAATGATCGAAAGCACCAAGGATAATTATGGAGGACACCAATGTACATGAGGACACCAAAAAAGCAAAATAGTACCCCACCTTGTCTGTACAATCCAAGCTTGAAGAAAAAAAAAAAGCAAAAAAAAAAAAAAAAGCCGCGTTGCCGCGTCAATTCCGGAACACTGGTGGTCTGACCAGAGACCGTTTTTTTTTTGGCCTTACCGGGATTTTCCAAAACTCAGCGTGGTCTCCATTCGGCTCCGCCTGCTAACAGTGCTATTTGGGTGTCTAATTTTGAAGATTTCAGGTCAACGTAAGTCAATGTCCTCTTACAGAAAAACTGTATATGATAACTGTATTAATATGAAGCAAGTGATTTATTTGAAATTTGATCGGAACATTAAAAGCTATAAGTGATAAAGCAAATTCGGAAACGAAGCCGAGCTTTGAAAAAGGGCCGTCAATGTTGTCATGTTTATTTAGCCACAGAGGCTGCCTGACCTACAATTTAGACGTGTAGGTGTCACTATTCCTCATGTGCATACGTGTTCAAAAATTTTGCACATGCAAATGATCCAATACCAGGGAGAGAGAGCAGGTAGTGGTGGGCGCGTACTGCTCCACACCCCGAGGTTGCCAACAACTTGCTTGAGAAACCTGCGTCCTCTGTCAGATTGATTGCGTTATGGATAAAGTACGTGACACCATTACAGAAGTTTCAAGGATGATGTCAACCATTTTGTTCTCGAATTCAATCGGTAGCCCCATGTGCTTGGCTTAGTGCCCATCGAGCACATATACACCGAACGGCCTGTAATGTTTATTCTAGTCACGAGCTGGCAACAACGTATACTCCACACTGAATGAAATAGTATGATAGATGCAGCGCTTCAGAAATATCAGGCAAGTCCCTGATTGAGGTTTGGAATAAATTGGCCATGAATTGTGTGCGTAGTTGCAAAAATGATCAAGATGCTTAACGAGCAGTTGGAGAGACATCAAATAAGCCACAGCAAATACAAGAGGGAAATGAAGCAACTGCACGATGGTTTGACAGCCGAAGCAGGTTTCATGTCCGTGGTGAGTTTTTACAATAAGAATGCCTTTACCCATCAAACACTGACCTTTTTTTCAAACCGTTATGAAAATGTCTAATTATTTGACATGATTATCGCGCGCAATGCACTAATCCCATTCAGATTATCAAAACATCGACTTGTGCTTGGATCAAAATCACTGCACCTCAGAGATGCCATATTTATACTATAAAGTTTCTTGAGCAGTGTACCTGTGATTTTCATCATGACAGATCCGAACACGTTTGGAAGCGCTTCAAGCCAAGAGGAGTCAGCCGTGTATTATACTGAGGTTATGATCTCAACGTTGCTTTGCAGTATAGATATGTACTCCTCAACAATTTGATACAACTATACACGTTTCTATTATGCATAATTCAAAGAAAATGTGATATGTGCTCCGTGCATGGTACGTTCAACTAGTGAGCTAACACAATGAGCCTGAAAATAACGCTGTCTGAAAACACTCGATCCAGATGAAATACAGAATCTTATCTCAGCGTGGATAATTTTTCTCCCCCCCCCCCCCAATTATGACAAATGGCACAAACTGCTCTTAAAAAGAACTACCAAAGACTAAAAATGCAACCTGGTGGTGAATTGCAATTTTCTGATAAAAAGCTAAGGTCTTCAGAAACAGAAAGTTATACACGATGGCATTGTCAACGTGGTTTGTTTTATGTTCGTTTTTGCCCCACTCCATTGTAGAATATCGAGAGCTGTATCAAACACGTCATGGATGACACTGGCCGTTGGTGGCATCCTTGCTGCAGTAATTGTAGTAACGAACAGGAAATTGCATTAAAAATCAACGACGGTTAGAAAAACAAGTTATTTCTTCACTTATACTTTAAACAAAGTTGATTTAGCACGAGGACCAAAAGGTACAGTAAGTGATATTTATTCTTTTTGTAAAGCTCGATCTTAGGTAATATAGACCTCATTTATTTAGATAGAAGAAATCGAGTGTTGAATGCACTGTTTTGAAAGGTTTAATTGGTTTATAACGATATTGTGCAATGAATCCTGGTGTTTTCAAAACACAATTATAGTTCGAATGCATGCAGCAGCCATTTCCCATACTGATGCGTATCCCTGTTGAACAATACGGACACACCTGAAAGCTGGCTATAGAGTGCAAATGATCCATACAAGGGTTTACATTGCTCTAACCCGTGCACTGAAAGCTAACAGACCACGTACGTAGGCTATATAAACTGTAAAACCTTTAGTTCCTAAGATATGTTAGTGATAAGAACTCCAAACGTGTTTCATGCACAAAAAAGACCCGTCAATATTTTTCGTTTGCTGTAAAAATTCATGATGCAGACAATTGGAATTGCCTTAATCTTCTTATCATATTAATGATTGGAATATAAGATTTATATAATGTTCATAACACTATAACATCACGAACAGCAAAACGATTACGGAGAAATACATAATTCGGTCGAGGAGTCAAAAATTGAGAATTAACGTAATTAAAGTAATTTTCCCTTTCACCATAAGATCACCAAATTTTTCTTTAAGCATAACTTCCTAAAATACAACCTAATAAAAAAAACGAGGCGCAAAAGAAACTGAAGACACGACTAACATATTCGTTCTTCGCTTGCTACTCTCTGACCGAACTTAACCGACCGAACTTTAATTCAGCCGGACCAACGCTGTCTTCTCCACGGCTGAGTGAGTGAGTGAAAAAGAGGGGCTGGTTTTCTTACCTCTTGTGATAAGACGAGAGAAGTGGTAAGAAGACAGGCCCTCTCCTTGCAGATTTCGTCAAAGTTGCATTTGCCACACAAGTGAACGAAATAATTGTAGTACATTGTAATAATGTCCTGCCTATGCCCCCTCTGTGGTTTTCGAATTGCAGTGCAGTAAATCGTCCGATAACTTTTCTCTATTTTATTGATATCCATTGTTATTATTTTCTACCATGGCCTGAACGACATAGGCCTACCATATTTTTAGATTTAGTTCACTTTTCTAATCTATCGCCTCATGGGCTGACGGTTGTTCTAGATCCACAGTGCGTGTTGTAAGTGCCATTTCTTGGATAAGAGAACGCACTTGATTAAAAAAAGTTACAGAGCTCAGAACATTCAAAAGCTATAAGTTTCTGAAATACGACAACATAAAACACAATGTCGGGGCAGGGTGACGGTTATAGTCTTGAACAACCTGACTGTATGAGGTATCTTAAGCCTCCTCACGCCTTTCCACAGCTGTTGACCCTTCCGTACCGGATACGCTCCCATCACGTCCTCTAACACCCACCCTGTTGTTGCTCTTGCACTTGCCCAGCGTGAGCATCTCAATGAAAGCCGCACGGAATCGGCGGTGCATGAACCCGTAGATGATCGGATTCACGCATCCGGCCACGTAAGATGTCACGGTCACCACCATGTACACGTTACTGCTTACGTCGATTCCGGGGATGTCTAGGTATCGGACCAGCGGGTACGGGAGGTAACCGACCCAGACCACCAGAAAAACGGCCAGCATCATGCGGTTGAGGTCACGGTCGTTGCGACTTCTTGAGGGTTTGAAGCGGTCTCGGCCTCGGCCTAATGTTTTGGCCACCTCACTAAGCCTCTTGTGGCCTGGCCAGATGCTTCCCCTGCGTCGCGTCAGGTCACTCTGGCTTGGAGCTGACCGGATTGATTGCATGTCCGACTCGGTGCTCGATAACCGGACGCGTGTTCGCCGAGTCATTGGCCTACCGGGCGCTTTACCTCCGTGACCGGATCGAGAACCAGACGCAGCCTCCCCGGTCCGGTCAGCACTGGCTAGAACTTGTGTGGTGGTCAAATCGAGCCCCTTCCGTCCCTCCAAGGATGGCTCCTGAATGTCAGGCGAGAAATCCACGGTGTTAATGGTGACCGATGACTGGTAAACGGCATCAACAATGCTACACCGATGGACCTCTGCCAAAGGAGTGGACTTGTTCTCGTCACAAGCACCGGTCTTTCCTGCTGCATCCACCTCCTTACCGTCACCAACATGATCAGCCTGACCTGTATCTACTTCAGGTGGGTTTTCAGGGTTTGTGACTAGACTCGGGTTTCTTGGGCACTGTAATATCTGCTCCTTCTCTTCCTGAAGCGCAACAGGCGCAAAAGTCACTTTGTCACGGGTGTTGTCACTGCAGACCGCGATGGACATCGCTTCTCCGTTGGTGACACTTGTGGCAATGGTTCGAGTGGCTACACCCATTTTGCTATGAAGACTCTTGCGTTTCTTCTTCACAAAAGAGAGAATGGTGACATAGGAAACGACAATGACAATGCTGGGCAGGATGAAGATGAAGCAGTAGACGACGACAGAGACGCGCCAGCTGCTTGCATTGTAGATTGCGATACAACGTAGTGCCTTCTCAAGGTAGTACATGCGGCCAGCCACGACGAAGAAATGGTAACACATCATAACCCCTGCCGTCACTAACCAGCACAGAACCACGGCGATACCGATATTCCGCCGAGAGGCGATCTTCCTGGCACGAGTGAACAGCACCACATTGACCAGCCGGTCTAGACCTATACACATGGTATGAAGCAAGGAGAGCAAGGAGAAAGCCAGCGTGTAGTAGGTGTGGAATCCACACATGAAATCCCCGGACCGCCATTCGCGGTAAATCAAGGTGTCTATTCCAGGAATTAGGACACAGCCCGCGTACAGCAAGCCGACTACGCTCAAGCTGACGATGAACGCGTTCCCGCGAGTCCGTAGATTCTTTTTCCTGGCCACGGCAGCGATGACCAATAGATTCCCCACCAGGCCGAAGAGCGTGAAGACGGTGGTGATACCAGCCGCTATTCGGGTTACCACAATGGACGGTAACCCGCTCATTGTCTCATTTCCCGAATTATCCATCTTGAGCTCTGGGTGGATAACGTCCACAAACCTCAGAACAGATCCCGGCATGGTACCAATCCATCGACTGTGGTCATCTGTGTTTTGTAATCTCTTTTCAAGGCACTTTGTGTAACGGCAACAAACATCTCACCTGCAAATAAAACAAGAGACAATCGTAACTCAGTGGGCCTACGCAAACAGCACGAGTGTCCTGTAAATCCATAAAAGGCGTTTTATATCGTCACATCTCCTTTTTCTATGTATCCAACATGACAAAAATATTTGCACATTCAGGTCAAACTACCGTCCATCCACCTCACTCCTCGCAACCAGATTACTTTTCTGTGATTGAATTACTGCTGCCCTTTTCGTTGCTCAGTAACAATTTTTAAAAACATCTCCAATACTTAAAAAACATACCTTGCATATCCTGAGAGCGCTCGTTTGTCCAAAAAGTCGGTCGACTTCGACAGAATCGGGGTTCCCGGTAGCCTGGTGCGTAATTGGATGGTGCGTAATTGGATTTTTTTCCCAATAGGACTTAATGTTCAATGATGATTCAAGTTTGAGTCAGGAGTTTGGATTTGAGCTTTCAGGCCCTCAGCATGCAATTGTGTCAAACAGAGCAAAGGCATCGTATTTGAAATATGCTGTTTGTTGATACTTCGAAAAGAAACATAATTCCTACAATCGGCAATCAAACTAAGAAAGAGTGCGGAAAACCTGTCCAGAAGCTATACCGTGTACATGTCGATATTCCCCGACTGAAGAGAAATCACAATTCACGCTTGTTCGCCTTGATCCAATGTCCATTAAAGGCCATCTAAAAAATCCCACACTTAAAAATGGGTGAGTTGTGAAGTGTGAAGGTGCGAGGCGACGTGTACATTTCGCATCAGTTCTGATCGACTGTTGAGATGGAGAGACGATGACGCAAAGTCCCGAACAAGTTAGGCGAGGCACGTCAAGTGACACTGATATCTTGTGAAAATTACAAGACACATTACGACTACACTAACACTGGTAACATCCAGGTTGTCTATCACAATATTATTTAGTTAGGTGACGCAGCTTTTTTTTTTTTTATTAACTATCATTTCGTTTCAGTCATAAACGATTTTTACGGCGTACGTACGCTGCTGTCATCCTCATCGTTGATAATGTGACTGTACACTTTAATCAATACACATCGCTGTCCGTGTTCGTCCGCTGCATTTTACTTCATGGCTGTAGCTTCTTCGTACGAGCGAGACGGTGAGGGAAGATCGTGGTGGGGCATGCGCTCGTGCCTGACAGGTCTGCCCGCTGTCGTCCGTGACGAACCGGGCATGTAAATGGTTTGGCAGTCCATCGGCCCTACTGCGTCTCATCATCTATTCTGCCGGCCCAAGCGTCTTCTGTTGTTGCCATGAATTGGTGGGCGTGCTCAGTGCAGGCTGGCGGGGTCAAGGTGCGCTGTGATTGACAATAAACTTTCGTTGGCCATTTTTGTCGTCTAGTTCTCTTAACAGTCCAAGTGGTCGCGACAGCTTCCCTCCAAGTCTCACACTGTTCCCGTAATTATTAATAATTCAACTGCATGACTTGCGTATGTATTCTCTCTAGTCTGAGGGCGATATATGGCGTTATGGCGCATGCTGGCATGGTTGGTAAATATTTGTGATATGCAGCGGCAAAACGGAGAGGGCCAATTATCGCAGTCAGGGTCTGGCAAAGTCACGCCATTTTATGATACTAACCAGTTTACTTGCCCATTAAAAGGAGGGTAAACATGTTGGTCTGTTCGTGTCTCCTCGGCATAAAGCTGTGAAAGTAATTCACAAAATTAATGGTCCATGGCATGTAAGTTTACTTTTCTTGGAGTGTAATTTACGAATCACGAATGACGCCGTTTTAGAACTCATTCAAACTTTGGGTATTTGCTCTGGATTCTTCCATGGACAAGCTTCATCACCAAATCACACAAGATTAATTTTGTTCTCCTGTATGAACTTGATGTTGCCTTTTCAATAAGACTGTTGACCGACATGCCTTTCTAACACACAATAAATTGACCTTAGTGAAAGTAATAACGCGCTTGGCAATTACGAATCAGCAACCAAAATCGTGGCAAATTTGATAAATGTACTCGTGTTCGCGTATTGACCCTACACATCGAGGTTTAGTTCCCCTACTTCACACACGAGCTCGATGGTAAACATGACTACATAAAAGAACATTAAGAGCTGTCACCTGGTTGATGTGTGTATTTACTGCTTCATGGCTTGCACGTTGAGTAAACTTCAAATCATAAAACACTGGCGCCATTTTGTTAATATATATAACGTTTTAGTGCAGCCAATTACGGTGTTGAACATTTATCGAGTCAATTGAACACAAACAAATTCTTAGCTTACAGGTGATTCCCAGCTTACCAGCCTGAATATCTTTGAAAATTCATGCCTGTCAAATGAAAGCACGAAATATAATCATAAACTTACATAAGCCAACTTGTTTACAACTCTTCAAGTTGTCTTTTATTCCCGAACCAAATCTAGACGCTATAGCAAGCCGAAGAATTTTCTTATATAGGCTAGGGGATTATAACAGAGAAGTTTATTTTTTTCCATTACAATTATATATATATATATATATACATGTATATATATATATATATATATATATATATATATATATATATATATATATATATATATATATATATATATATATATATATATTTTTAAGTATTTAGTCTTACATTTTCACTAAACGACCACATCATCGAGTACTCTTACATCTCGTTCATTTCTATTGCTGACAAGAAGCATAATTAATCTCCGTGAAAAAGCAATTTCCCATGTGGAACATCTGCAAGGTGTCGGTCATTACGAAAATAAATTGCCTTTTGCCCGGCCACCGTGTTCCAGAACTACTACGGCCTACGCCTCGGAATGACCAGGGAAGGTGATTTGTTTGTAAGATATCGGAAGTAATTTCAGGCATCATCTTATGTCATACTGGCTTCTGCAGTCACTAAGTCAAGTTCTGTTTATTTGAACGGCTCACGTCGAGTGCACTGTGCATGCGTGAACGTGATTTAAAGCTTTGTATGGTGAAAAGGTACAATAAGTGATAGATTTGCGGGTGCATCGTGGTAAACGTCTTTCTGCCATTTTCATCCTTTATGAATAATGGTTCTGGACGTCTCGCCCAGAATCTGTTTGGTAAAATCTCATACAAACAGACAACAAGATGTAAGGTCGAAGGAGACTGGTCGGATCGGCCAAAATCTGTTTGTAGTCAAGCGCAGACTCGGGAACAAACTGGAATGGTCTGCAGCAGTTACAATAATATTATAGAACGCTATTTGGTTCATTAATATACTGGAAGATGTAAGTCCTATTCTGCCGCTAAGAAACGATCTATCAATGTCACGGTAATTGAGCCACGTAATTGAGCCACAAAGCCGATCTTAAATCAACAAAACCGCCATGCATTTGGGGAAACGGAGGAAAACCATGCTGAAATACGCGGCTTCCTGCTAATACTTTTAAGAAGTACAAATCTTTGTGTTTGAAATTAATCATGTCATGAGCTAATCAATTTTGTCTTGTCCCGTTGAGCCTAAATATACCAAAATCTCAGCTGTATTTTTCTAAAATGGTGTAATCTCTCCAAAATATCGCTAGCCCGTCATTCCTTTCATGTTAAGGAAAAAGTACACGGCGGGAATGAGCGGAAAACGCGCTTCATAAGTATATGTGTGTAAACAGCGCCCCCTAGGGTCAATTACCCCACCAGCTTATTGATTTTCCCAAGCCACTGCCCGACCGGTCCCTTGTCCCCATGCATGTTGACAAGAACTAACCGCCCCTGCTTATAGACATTAGTCAAAGAAAGTAAAGGGTATAAACTCTTCAAAGACGAATCTTTTAGGAAACTTGAAAATGAATAAAACTTTTGCATTAATACATGCAGTTGAAAAGCATTGTTGAAGGGGAACACTGGTATCAACAGAATCGACAGAAATTTTGGGGGCACGTGCCAGAGCTTACAACGGTAGTAGTGCTCATTTTGGGGAGGGTTATTTGGAAGAGGAAAATCGCAATGGACACAGCGAAGTGCAGGATGTGTAAGCCAGAGAGGGGCAAAGAAGCTTTGCTGTACACCTCTGCATTAAAAAAAAACCCTGACTGAGTTTAAAGCGAATTCGGTTCGTGACTAAAGGATTACGTCCGCGCACGTACGTCGGCGACACGACAGTGCATACCAAAGATGACAAGGGCTGACTGGACGGCTCAACACCGCAGCCAAAACTTCTAATCCTCCCCGCTGAGTGCAAACAGAGAGTTTCTCCCCGTACCTATCTCATCAATTTAAGGAGCTCTTTTATCCTCGCCCGTGTGTCTCACAGTCTCAGCCAACTACACGTTAATACTAGAGCGTTCCCCATTTCTTCATCTGAAATAGTGAGACCCGAAATCCTTTTTCTCCCTGTCATTAGCGAAGAGCAAATAGCAGTGAAACTCATTGGGACTTGCTATTAGCAATCAGTCATTTTCCATGTCATGTGAAGAGCCTGCCGGGATTTTACTCTTCGTGTTTTTCTTTCTGATGCATTTTTTTGATCGGGTCGTTCTAAGCAGACGGCAGACGGATTCAAAACAATCCATCTCCTCAATAACACAGCAACGGTCAACATTGTTCCAGAATGATGTCTCATGAAAATGGCATGATAGAAAACGAATGGAGAGGAAAACGAATTAAATAATACTTAATATCGTCTTTCAATATTCAAAAAGTCAATTATTTTAGTTATGTCCATGCTGATCGCTTTATGATTTATCCTGCTTTCAAATTATGGAAGACAACTGTATTTTTTATTTTATAAACATGTTTGTTATTCAAATTGTAATTTTTGTAATACGTACATGTATTGCAGTTCTCACACGAGCGTATTCTGACTTAATAATCTGCCTGACATTAATTGTTAGGTCGTGGAAGCGCCGTGGCCGGATTCTACCCGTTTCCGAAAGTGTCCGAAGTTTCCAGAATACGTTGACGTTGACACCTGGATATAATATAATCGCGATATCTCGGGAACTCCAACAATAAAATGGTTTTATTTATCAACAAAATACAAGTTATGCTTGCCATCAGCCTTGAAACTTTCGAGTTCATCTAATCAATGTTTGCATTCCCAAATTCAAAGCCAAGGGTAATGTCAAATATTGGTATTCACTGTCATATTAGGCCTTGTGCCGCTACTGAGTTACAAGACTATATACGTTACGTGTGTGAATGGTCAAGATGATACTTTTTAAGTTGGAATTATACAGGGTGAGTAAAAATTTTTACACAAGTTACGGAATTTTAAACACAACCACCGTTGTAAAGTTCTGTCCACGGATCATAAGAAAGGTGTGCGTTCTTTCAGCAAAACGAAAACAATTCACGCACATCCCTGTGTAATTTGTTTTCGTTTTGCTGAAAGAACACTGAACTTTTTTGCGATCCGTGAAAAGAACCTTAAAACGGTGGTTGTGTTTAAAATTCCATAACTTACAAAGTACATCAGTGATTTGAAAGATTCTTGTACAACAAAGTTTATGAATAGGGTTTTCATATCATATATTTTGAAAGTGCTACATGCAGAACTTCACTTAAACAATAGTCCCGACATTTGGGATTCGTTTCTTTTTACTCCCCCTGTATAATTGAAAATTTGAAACAGCAATTCATTTGAAAATTTATTTAAATAGCACGGGGATCTACGAACTTTAGTTGGCGCTATGCTGTGCACTATACAGGGAAGAAAGAGAACTTACAAATAACAAAACTAAATTTCCATTTCGGTTTGTTGATGAAGATGAGACATGGAACACCCGGATGACCGCTGGTATTTCTGTGAAAAGATGTTTTATCTAGCCCATCCATCTATTTAAGTCTTCTTAATTAGGTCATAACACAGTTGACAGTAAATTGAAGGTGAGATACTGCATTTTTAGTTCTCCCGACATAACACGCTGGGGGCCCCGCTGTCTACCCGAATTTCCGCGCCAGACAATAATTTGCTGCTTGTCTTACCCCGTATAGTTCGTGTCAAATAGCACCGCGCGCCATGTGCAGCAACGCTGACATTCTGAGCATGTTTGGTATTTGATCACACAGCAACATTCCCTGTGATTGGTGCCCAGGGACTTTGTATTCCACTCCCCTCTCTCGTGCAGAATATAGGACCTGGTGTACACATTGGTATAAACTAGTCATAAAACGTGTTTTAGATAGTCATTGATGCATGGCGAACAAAACCTGATATGGGCCTTATTCACGAGTCGGCCATATTAAATTGAAAGTTAGTAAACATCTTATTTTTAAACTTGCGAAGAGAAATGAAAGCAAATTAATTTATAACCAACCAGTCTGCCTCAATAAATAATTTTAAATTTGTAATTAAACATTCCCTAATGTTAAAAGCCATATTTAAAAAAATGACAGTAAAATAAGGCGGCATTGTGCCTGCATAAATGGTCTGGCGCCTTTCCATTCAACAGTTAACAATTAATGAAATACATTCAGGGAAC